ACTGGCTTTCTCTGAATATTTTGGGTAACCACATAAAGCAAAGTCATCTAGCTTAGGCTTTCATCCTCACACTGCCTCTGAAAAACATGGTTTTCCAGAAGGCATATTCCCTATTCCCTTTTGGTTTGTTAAGGCGAAGTTTTCCTGTACTAGTTATTATAAAAGTACTTTACAACTCTCACTCTTCAATCTGCTCCATCGGCTGCCTTCCTCCGAACAATGCCACCCTGGATAACACTTTTCTAACGAAAATGATCTTCAAATGGGTCCAATATAGTAGCTAGGTTATGCCAAAATCTCACCTAAGTTCCACAGTCATGTTTCTTATATAGAAGATGATTTTCAGGTAAGGTTAAAACATTTGTTGTGTGGTCTACAGAGGACTCTGAGATCCCTGAGTAGTAGATAAAAAAGATCTCTGCATATTTTCTGTCACTTTGATGGTTGGGACAACGAAGGAAATGTTGGGTTTCTTTTGTTGTTAATGCCGAATTTCTTTCAGCATTAAAAGCACTAGACCTTTAGGCTCCACAATCAAAATCTCTTATTTAAAATACATCTTAAATTCTAGGAATAAAACAAAGTAACTTCATCATATCTTCACCCTATTTAAGTAGGAAAATATTTCTACTTAGAAAAAGAACGTGCTGTAACAAGGTAGTCTCCCAAAGTAGTGAATCAAATGAGAAGCAAAATGTGCTAGAACCAATGAAGGTAATTTCATTTTCAGTTGTAAAATTCCCTTCATAATTTACCCATGATTGTGTCTGTTATCCTCTGCTTTCAAAATGAATTCTCGTTCTCCTCCACTGTGGTGTATCCGAACCACATGGATTAATTGTCCAGATCTCTATCTGGACACTGGGCCCAGGTGACTCTGGAGGAGAAAGTGAGGCTGGCGACCCTCCACAGCCCTTCCTCACCTGAATCCAATTCACCTGCGTGTTATGGCATCAGCTCCCTGATGTCACGGTCCTCTTCGGGAATGAAGGACAAACAACACAACAAGAAACTGTACTAAGCTTCGGCCTACTGTGCAGCAAAACTCTTGACATTTCGTGTGCCCATGAGTGCGCACAGGCCTGGAACAACTTTCTCTTTCGATAGGGCTATTAAAGCGCTATCAGTGAGTCTTTTCAGGATGATAAAACACACTAACGATGAGAAAAGGTGACCAAGCAGGGAAGGGAATTTGAGAGCAAAGATCTATAATTCACAGCTATCGATGCCTATAAACGTCTTCACAAACACCAAGATGAACCAAACCCAGGAAGAAGCTCTGTCTAGTTCTTGTCAAAATATATGAGATGAAAGTGGCTTAAACACTAGTGCTTTGAACCTCAGATCTAAAAGACATCATTACTTGGCATTACTGACTTGATGGGGGAGCACTGACTAGATGGAGAAGGGCTAAGATGCAGATCTGTGTAAGCTGGTTTATTCATCAAAACTGCGACTCTTAAGAAGGCAAAATGACAAAGTGGGGCAGTCCCTTCTATTCATACTGGAAAAACCTACCCAGGTTGCTCATTAAAGGCCAATGGAAATGTGACCAAGTCCCTGGTGCCCAGAGAGGACAGAATGGTGCTGCAGTCACCCAACTAGCACAGTAAAAGTCAGCTTCCCAGTAGGAATACAAATTAAATCTAAAGAAAACATTTCTGCACGTGAAGCTGAGCTGAGCTTATCTCATTCATCCAGGGGTGTAATAATAGTACTCAAGGTCATCAAAAAAGATGTGAAAGGAGTTCAATAATTTTTAAGCACTATTTGACTACGGCTGTAGTGGACAGATAGCCAGCCTCAAAGTGAGAAAGAAGCAGGTTCAAGTCCTACATCTACCACATCTCAGTTATGTGAGCTGGAACCAATCACGTCACCTGTCACCCCTCTGGGCCACCAGCACTCTCTGAGCTCTCACAGAGCAGCTGCAGAGAAGGTGCTAACCTGTACTGGGACCAATGAAATCTCAGGTCCAGTTCCCATCCTTATCCATTTCTTTATGTGTAAAGATAATGCTAACGATCTGTCATGTACTTTGAGGTGATTTTCCACCAGGAGTTAGAAAATTATAGACACTCTCTGGTTTGATTTGCCTTATGACTAAAGGTATATTTTTTCAAGGGATTAGATTATAGACACTCTCTGGTTTGATTTGCCTTATGACTAAAGGTATATTTTTTCAAGGGATTAGAGATATAGTTTTTGACCCCAGAATACACTAAGGCCCATTAACAAATATAGCAAGTAAACTACAGATCCAAACTACTTTCACTTATGGCTCAGTTTACCCTCCTCTTGGATGACCAAATCCAAATATGCCTCATGCATTCCCACTTTCCAGTCATCATCACCTTTACATACAGCATTTCCCCTCAGCTGGAATACCCTCCTCTTCACCTCCTTTCTGAATCCTCTTTATCCTTCAAAACTTAACTCAAGCCCTATCACTTCTGTGAACGAAGCCTTCCTTCACAACCCCAGCTCAAAACTAGTTTTTCCTCTCCTAATTCCATTAGCATTTATTGTCAGAAAGTTTTACTCATAATGAACAATGTAAGACATACACAAATACAGTCAGGACTGCTCACCTCAACTACCTTCAAAGTTCCTTGAGGGTAGGGCTTTACCTAACATTTCTCGGTATTCCCCACAGTACCTATGCTTTGTACAGTCATAGTAGGCACTCAATAAGTATTTTATTGTAAAGTGAGGCCTAACCAATCAAATAAGAGTATGCCAAAGCTAAAAGGGTCTGTGTAGATTCATGAAGCGAATGCTGTTATTTCTATTGAGGTTTTAGAAGACATCTTAAAATGTTCAAAATGGGGAGTTTGTATTAGGGAACAAGAAGGAAAAGAGCAAAAGAATAAAAATTTCCCTGAGTTTTCTGTTTTGGTCTCAGACATTAAAATGGAGAACAGGAGCTTAAAGCTGAGAACAGAGCTGATGCTTTGATGCTCCACAGGGCCACACTTCCACAGTACAGACCACACAGGCCCAGCCAGAGCCCAGGAGATTCCCTCTCCACACTGACCCTGAGGTCAATAAAGGTTTCCAGGTCTGCTGGACAGGGACAGTAAGACAGTTGCTCCTCCCAAAGAAAGTGAAACACTGTGGGAAAATTGTCAAGTCAGCAACCAAGAGCAAACAGCAAAGATGAAAGTGAAGATGGATTTAGAAGGTGTGTGGGGGGGGGAATAGAGTAGAAGAAAACAAATTCAAACAGAAGTTCTAAACTAAATTCAGAGGCAGGGAGGAGGTCTTATATAGGTACTTATTAGCTAGACACTTCACTGCACAGTGTTGTGACTAGGAATTCTGTTTCCCAGGTCTTACAGGCCATGTACGGAGTACTTAGCGTCTCAATTTAAACCTGATTCCAAAGGGCTCATTCATGCTAGCAAGATTCACCTGTGCTTTGCAAACAGCGCTTGTAGATGTAACTGGGTTTGTGGTTGCCCTTAACACTGTACCTGGAGTGGAACACGGGCAATGTTGAAGCAAAGGAACAGCCAAAAGCCTGTTCCAGAGAAAATGTCTTGGCAAGGCAGCTGTGTGTGTGTGGGTGTTTATGTGTATGGGCAGACACATACACACGCACACACATCTTCATTCACCTTGGTCATCACCAAATACCAATCCCCGAGGGGTCTGGGGCTCAGGAGGACAGAATGCCACAGGAATGCTTCCCTCACCAGCACAGCACTACCCTTCGGAGGACAAAGACGGAGTTCAGCAGAAACAGGTGAACACCAGCTGTACGTCAGAGGATGCAGTAGCCTACATTCTGCTCCTGCAGCACTTTTTTTTTTTAAATAAGGGGGATGGAGGTGGGGGTGGAATGGTTAGACTAGAGAGATCACTGATAACCCAGACCAAAATTCACAGAAGGCTGAAACAATCCAGCCCTTCCCAGGGCTGTGGAAACAGGGGAGAGCAGCTAGACTGAGAGTCATCAGACTCCAGCTCCTTCACTTTCACCAGGACACCCGAGGCTCAATTCACCCCTCCCCCGCCCCCAGCAGCCTCTCCACCTCCCCGTTACAACGCTGCTCCCCCAGAGACGACCCCGGGGATATCCTCGCCCGGCGGGAGGGGAGGAGGGCGACTTCTTCCATCACAGTTGCGGGAGGAAGAAGGAAAGGTGGAATAAAGTGGAGAAGAACCCCGGGAGGATGAAGGAAGACCGGGGAGAAGGTGCGGAGAGGCGAGAGAAGCCGGGGGGCGGGGGCCCAAGGGGAGGAGGCGGCAGAGGCTCCCTGGGGCGAGGTGTTAGCACGCAAGGAGGGGGTCCAAGGACAGGCAGGGGGCTGGAAGGAAGAGGAGGGATGCAGAGGCTCGCTCCGGGATGCCCTCCCCCGGCTCGGAGAGGGAGGGTTCGGGCCGCCGGCCGAGCAGCTAGGGGAACTCCCGTGGGAGCCCCGGGGCGGGGGGCGGGGGGTGGGTCTCTTACCGGCAGCTTGGGGCTGACCTCGCCCTTGCAGCAGTGGCAGAAGAACCGGTGAGGGGGGACGGCGGCGCCCGCGCCCGCACCCGCACCCGCCGCCGAGGCCTCCGCCATCTTCTCCCGTGCCCGTCCGGCCGGCCGCCCTCCCGCCCGCTGCCACAGCCCGGTCCTCCTCCTCCTCCTCCACCTCCTCCTCCCCAGCCGGAGCCGGCAGCACCAGCGGCCCGCGTCACGTGACTCCTCCGAGGCACCAGCGAGACGGATGAGCCGGCGGCGGCCAAACCGCTCCCCAAGTCCGCGACCAACGAGGCGAGAGAAAGAGAGGCCCTTCCGGCACGGCCAGGAGAGCGGCGCCTCCCGCCAACCCCTGAGCCCGACGGCTCCCAGACGTCAGTCCTCCTGCGGGCCAGCGAGAAGAAGGGACGCGTCTGCCGAAGAACAGGGAGGGCGTGTAGAGCGGCATACTCTTTATCCCTTCCTGGGCAACCCCCCCTCCCCCCCCCCCCGTTCTCGGGAGCGGAAAGGACGTGAGAGCGCCTGCGGCCCCGGAAGAAGACCCGGAAGGAGTTGTGGGCAGTGCGGAAGAGCTCTGTCCGGGTGGTCTCCGCCACGCACGGGCCCGGACTGATACGGCCGAGGACGGAATCGTGATTGTAAGCAACTAGGTTCCGGGGTCGGAGCCGGAAGCGGAGACTGGGCCCGAGCTGGTTGCTATAACGGGAGATTCCTTCTCGTCGTTCCCCGAAGCTGGGGGGCTCTGGAGAGAAGGGGGCACCGGGAAACAGATGGAAGGAAGCCATTCAGTTCAGTAATAGTAAATAAACATCTGTTAAGCACCTACAATGTGCCAGGCACTGTGGTAGGCGCTGGGATACAAAAAGAGGCAAAAGACAGTGCCTGCCCTCAAGGAGCTTACAGTCGAAAGGGCCTGGGAGCAGAGCCAGGGATGGGCCCTTGATGAGCCAAGATGTGCACAGGCACACTGCCCCCTACCTCTCCTAAGGCCGGAGCCTCGGTGTCCACTGCGTTTGGACGGTCCAGCACTAAATTAATCACAAGGGATGCAAAGTCCTCTCTTCCCGCCTTCCTCCACCTCTTTCCTGGGTCTTCATAGAGAATATTTTCTTATGTCTTGGCATATGAAACACCCATTGGCCTATTCGTGGGTGTGTTGGCTTTTCTATAGAAAGGGTCTTTCGAGTTTATCATTTTGCCATCTTCTTACAGGATTCGTTTAAGAAACTTACCTTTCCTTTTTTATTTCTCCGTTGTCATTCCTTTTTGTTCCTTGTTTTGTTCTTTCTTTTTCACATGCCCAGGACTTTGCCCAGTCGCTTTGCATCTACTCAGTGCTTACTTAGTGAGTACTTATTAATAAGTGCTATTTCATTCATTTCTCTGATAAGCTGCTTATTTTTCCGGGGCTTTAATGCTACCCAGAAGTGTGGATTTGAGTTCTGTTGAAGAGCGAAAGGTCATCCAGTCTACACCTTGAAGGAAAGCCTTTTTCCATCATTTAACTTTTTCTTTGCTTTCTCCTATTGCACTTAGCCTGGATGTCTTTGACTTGCTCTGGCTCCCAGAAAATTTATCACTAGTAAATCTTTCCTCAACTTCCATTTAAGAAGGAGAGGCAGCAGGGCCCCCCCCTTTTTTTTTTAACATTTTGAATTTTAATCATTTTATTAGGTCCAGTTTCCTAGTACTGGGACTTCATAACACAATGACTCAAGCAGAAATTAAACTATGTTCCTTGCTGCTCCAAGAGCATTTTGGAGAGATAGTGGATAAAATTGGAACTCATCTTATCAGAACAGGCAGCCAACCATTGAGAGCAGTTGTCCATGACACAGGGACATCACTAGATCAGGTAAGTCTGTACAATATCTGCTTTGCTCCACGTGGGATCAAAATGAAGTCTTGTTGGAAGGGTGCCCTGCTTCCATGAGCACCCCGATCCCCCTCAATAGTCAATAATAATCTGTATTTAGTAAGCACTTTCTGTGTGCCAGGCACTGTACTGAGTGCTGGGGATGCAAACAGGAAAAAGAAAAGAGTGATGGGCCCTGCCCTCAGGGTGCTTAAAATCTGATTGAAGATGACAGTATATTGAAGAAAGCTGAAGGGGAAGGATGGAGGTCAGGGTAGAGTTGGTGGAGAGAAATCCAAAATAAGTTGCATCCTTTGGGATATGAGGTCTCTGCTGCTTCCAGCTCTTGAGTGGAGATTGAGGAGTTTCATGCCCCTGCCTTCCAACAGAAGGGCAGAGAATGATGAGGTATGAGTACCAATCAAGGTTGATGGGATCTTGTGAGGTCTCCCAATGATAAGTTTACTAGGGGCATGATAGAAAAGTCGGAGAAATCCAAAAGGAGAATATGTCGGAGTGTTGTGGTTTCAAGGTGTGTTGTCCGGGCACCGTCTCGAAGAATTCAGAGTCAGACCACCTCTAATCCAAGTACACGCTTTTGTTGAGATTGATGCCTCTCATGAAGCTGGCTAAGTTCCAAGAGGAACCAGTAACTTTAGTGAAAGCAAGACAGATTTTTATAGGGTTAAGATACAATTACATAACAGAAATTATGAATATTAAAAAGGCAGGAGGGGTTTGTTAAGGGATTAGGTAATGGGGGAGGGATTCCAGCCTCAGTGGAAGTATGCATATGATTACCCACAATGCATACAGAAAAATCCATTTGGGGGGTATGTATGTATGATAATGATATTATAATAAGCCTCTCTACATCATAAGTTCACTTGAAGGACAGCTTTTGCTATTACTGGGCTGGTGCCTACTTAGGGAAAGTCCCTTCTGTTGTTTTGGGGTCCACATCCTGCTTGGGCATCCTGGTGGTGCTGCTTTCTGATCGGCTGACTGTTGTGGTCCTGTCTGAGGCTAGATGGATGTAGTTGTGGTTGAGTGCATGGACACACCTGCTGTTTTAGTGAGCGGTGAGGCCTACATGAAGAAGTTAGAATATGGGGGGAGGGGCAGTGGCTAGGTAGGGGCAGTGGGGCCCATAAGGAAGTTAGAATATTGGGGGGGGGCAGCTTTAGTATTCAATCAAGAGGATTATAGATCTATGGCTAGAAGGAACCTTAAAACCTATTTACTCCAACCATTTTTATTTTACAGATGAGGAAACTGAGGGCCAGATAGATTAAATGAGTTTCCTAAGTTCTTAGGAATCCTACATGATAAAACCCAGGATATGGACTTGGGATTTCTTTGTCTATATCTGACCCTTTTAACATTGTCCCAGACTGCCTCTCCCCAGTCTGCACCTTAATTATTCACTATGAGAATGGGTATAATATAAGACAGCAGTTCTCAGTTTTTTTAGTAAAAGAACTTATTTATACTCTTAAAAATTAAGGGCAATCTCCTCCAAGAGCTTTTGTTTATGTGGGAGATATCTATCGATATTTACCATATTGGAAATTAAAACATCTCAGGATTATTTTGAAAATAGTCTTGACCTGAAAGACCCTCAAAAGGGTCTCAGGACCTGTAAAGATACCTAGAACTACTGGATGATGTGGGAAGACTGCTTCAAAGGGAAGGGGCCAAAGGAGAGAGCACCAATGATGGCAGTATCTTCTGTTTTTTTCCTTTGGCATGTTGCCATTGTCAGGAAATGCCCTGGTGAAAGGAAAGCAGGGAATTCCTAGCAAACCACTGATAAGATTCTTGAAAGTGCTCTCTTCAATCTCACAACATCCTTGTGAAGAAGTTGCTAAAGTTATTATTATGCCCATTTGACAGAGAAAACTAAGACTCAGGTTAGGATACTTGCTAGGTCACATAGCTAGAAAATCAGAGACAGACTTTCCCTTCTCATCTCTGTCTCTGAATCCCTGGCTTCCTTCAGGACTCAGCTCAAATGTTACCTTCTGCAGGAAACCCATCCCCAGTTTTCCCCCCTTCCCTAAATTGCTAGAGCAGGGCTTCTTAAACTTTTTCCACTCTTCACCCCTTCAGCAGTTGTTAAACTGTGGGTCGTGACTCCATTGTGGGACAACAGTTATTGTCCATCAGTCACTCTGTGTGTGTTTTGTATGTACCTTTTTTTTTTTTGGTAAGGAAATCAGGGTTAAATGACTTGCCCATGGTCACACATCTAGTAAATGTCAAGTGGCTGTGTATTTACCTGTTTAGATACATATTATCACCACCGCCTTCACCCTCTACCCCCAATCTAAACGACTTTCTTTGTATCTTCAGTGCTTAGCCCAGTGCTTGCTTGACACACTGTAGCACTGAGTAAGTGCTTTTTGACAGCCTGACTCACACACTGTCCACCCCTCCCTGTGTGGCCTTTCAAGAATACTAGAAATGTGATAAGCTATGTTTCCTATTCTTTCCCTTGGGCCTGCCTAGGTGAAAAAAGCCCTGTGTGTCCTTATCCAACATAACCTGGTAACGTACCAGATGCACAAACGGGGGATTGTGGAATATGAAGCCCACTGCAGCCGGATTCTGCGCATCCTACGGTATCCCCGCTACATCTATACAGCCAAGACTTTGTACAGTGACACGGGAGAACTGATCGTTGAGGAACTCCTGCTCAATGGGAAGATGACCATGTCGGCCGTGGTGAAGAAGGTGGCCGACCGACTCACCGAGACCATGGAGGGTAAGGTGACTGCTGGTCTGGCTGTGGAGCCTCAGCTGTCACAGCCTGGCCCATCTGCTCTCCACTGTCTCTCATACAGATGGGAAAACCATGGATTACTCCGAGGTGTCCAGCACATTTTGCCGTTTAGCAGACACACACTTTGTACAGCGATGCCCCCTTGTTCCTGATCCCCCAGAAAGTGCCGACGCTCAGCCACCGCCGCCTGCCCCGACACTTAGCATTAACGAAAAGGACATGTACCTGGTTCCCAAACTGAACCTTATAGGTAAGGAGTCTTCTGCCAGACCTATCCAGCTTTTTGACACATTGGGTCTACCTATTCCCTTGCCCTATCAGAAAGTGTCTCCCATTGTGGTCAGTGCCCTCAGAGCTGAGATTCAGCCTTCTCCCAGCACCCTTGCCTTTGTCAGTCACCTGGAGAAAGCTGTCTTCAGTCTTTTGGGGCACCTCGGCTTTTTAAGCAGCTTCCACCCCCAAGTAGCCACATGTCTAAGAAACTCCCACCCACATCTTTGTGTTAAGCCCCCTCCACTCACAGAAGGACTGTAACCGAATTGTCTTGGTCTGGCAGGAAAAGGAAAGAGGAGGCGATCATCTGATGATGATGCAGCCGGGGAGCCTAGGCCTAAGCGGGCCAAACAAACAGCAGAGAGCAAAGAGGTAATTGTGCTTCCTGGCTGGGAGCATCCCTCTCCCGACGGGCCAACTACAGAGCAGATGACAAGCCCCACAGAAGGCAGAGCTGCTCAGATGAGGGATAGTAAGAGCCAGGACCTCACTGACCACGGAGCAGTGTCCAAAGGGGAGTCTTCTGCCAGGGCAGACCAACAGGGAATACCCTGTTCCCAAATCGTTCTCTGCACTTTCCAGGATCCTGGTGTGCTTTTAGAAAATGGCCTATGTCACTCGTGCGTGCAGCTAGCCCTGACTGTTTGATTGGCTGCCACTGACTCTGCCTCTCCACCTCCAGCCCATTCCAGATGATGGCATTTACTGGCAGGCCAACCTGGACAGGTTCCACCAGCACTTCCGTGACCAGTCGATTGTGAGCGCAGTAGCCAACAGAATGGATCAGGTATCTGGAGAGGGCAGGTCCTGGGGCAGGGCTGGAGCAGGGACATTGTGTGTGTGGGGGGGGCGGGGTTCTGAAGGTCAGACTGTATCCTGACAGACCAGCAGTGAGATTGTTCGGACCATGCTCCGGATGAGTGAAATCACCACTTCCTCCTGTGCTCCCTTCACGCAGCCCCTGTCTTCGAATGAGGTGAGTGCCTCAGGTGTGTGGCTCTTAGGACAGTTTCTTTTCCTTTGTGTCCCCATGGCTATGCAGTGCACTGCATCTGCATGTTGCGAGTGCGCACTTGGGGTGGGATTGGAGGTAGAACCAGAAAGGAAGGAAAGTTTTAGTTTGTTTAGATCTGTTCATCAAGGCACTAAGGTGCTAAGACTCCTGTACCAAGATGAAATGAAGTGATCCCTGCCCTGCCTGGGGTGGTGTGGGTAAAATAAATACAAATATTAAATAGATGAAAGGCGTTCCAAAAGCTACTAAGCCTTAATAGCTGCACTAAGACTTTTGGGACAGCCTGTACAAAATAACTCGAAGAGGGAGGGCAGACCCAGCATGGAAGAGATCAGGAAAGGCACCTAAACCGGGCTTCCAAGGAAGCTAAGAATTCTAAGGGGCACAGGTGAGGAGGGAGTGCTTTCAGGATGGGAATGCCAGGGGCAGCTACATGGCTAGGTGAATAGAGAACAGGCCCTGGGAACAGGAAGACCTGAGTTCAAATCCAGCCTCAGACATTTACTAGCTGTGTGACCCTGGGCAAGTCACTTAACCCTGATTGCCTAAAAACAACAACAACAAAAAACACAAAGATGAGGACATCACCTGTGCCGAGGCAGTGTTGTACATGCAGACAGCTGGCTGGCCAGTTTAACTAGATGAGTGTATAAAGAGAGACAGACAAGAAGGCATATAGGAAGCATTTGTAAATCACACCAGAAATGGTAATTAATGAGATGCCATTACGATTAAGTGCCCAGTGTCCCAGCCTACGACTTTGAGTAACCTGTATCGTTTCCCGATTTCCCTCTATGGCCACGTCATGACTGCCCTTCAATCATTAGCACGTTTCCTACTGGCTCTACAGGGACTTCCCTTTCAGATGTCTGAGGGCTTGACTGTTCACCACGTCCCTTCAGGGCATCATTTATCTTGATGCCAGCAATCCCCAAGAACACAAGCCTACCAACTACTCTTTACTGCCCTCCAGATCTTCAGATCTCTCCCTGTTGGATATAACATTTCAAAGCAAGTCCTTGATCAGTATCTGACTCTTCTGGCAGATGACCCAGTAAGTCTGACTTTTTCCTATATCTATTTTTCTACTGAAATATTTCTACAGCTGACATCTGGTGTCATTCTCCTCCAACCTCATTCTCAGCCAATCTTAGGCATTCCTTCCTCTTTAACCTTTTCTACGAGGGTTGCCTGCCAACACCCTCTGACCACCCTTGTTCGCTATAATGCAGTCGTGGAGCTCTCTGAAAGGTTCATTCTCTTCTCTTCCCACAGCTAGAGTTTGTTGGAAAATCAGGAGACAGCGGTGGAGGGATGTATGTCATCAGTATCCTTCCTTCGCAGATACACAGATTAGTCAGTCCTGGTTAATGAAACATGGTCCCTTCCCTTAGGATTCTGAAAAAGACACAATTAACTAGAACACTGAATCTGGAATGTTTTTCTGCACTAAAGACCAATGACAAGAAAACCTGATAGCAAGAATTATTTTGTGAAAAGCAGCTTCTCGCGTGAGTCCTGTAATCAGCACAGAAACTCTGACTTGTTCTCTGCTTACAGTTTTGCCCTCCATAATGAGGTGCCACGAGATTCTAAATCAATCTGCTAGATACTTAAGAAAGATTTTAAACAAAAGTAAAACATGAAAGAATTTTCTAGTTAAGGCCTAGTAATTTTTTAAAATTTACTGTTAAGAAGATTCAGTCAGTAAGGATTCCCTTGAACTAGGGTTTGACCAGCTATCCACAGTTGAAGCGAAATCATAAAACAGTCTATTCACAGTGTCCTTTTTCAGGCTCTAAAATCCTCCTTCCCATGGTCTTGGAAATGGAATGAGAGATGGCTGGCCAGTGCCCTCCTCCTAAAACAATATGACACACATCCACATCCACACACTGCCAGGACCAGGCTTCCTGGGTCTCTCACTTCCAGGCCCACACAAGGCCTAAGCTGGCTCAGTGACCTTAATGCTCCCCACCCAGACCTCCACAAGGCATTGGCATCACTGGCCATGGCAACGCTGGAGTCCATTGTGCAGGAAAGGTAAGAGAGGAGCTTTGAATGAATGAGTCCCTTCTGTGTTTGGGAACAGAGGCACACTGTCACTCTGTCGTTTTCCCTGTCCTTCTTCTCCCTGCCCCCTCAGGTGAGGTTTATTCCTGCGTCCCCCTGGTAAGCAAAAAGGAACCTGAGAAGCAGTCAGGGCCAACCTTGCTACAGATTCATGGACTGGGTGGCGATCTTTCCTATGAACCCCAGCACAAATCCCAGTTCTGTGTGATGCTGATTTACTTGCTTCCATTCTGGTCATTTACTTGGCCTCTGTTCCCCAAGCAGCAGATAGTGGCCATCAGCAGACCCTTTGGAGTGGGGGAAGGACTATATCTTCCCTTCTCTCAGCTCTTGCTGAAATAGAAGAACAGCTGCTGTGTGAATGAGGGGCAGCCCCAGGCTGCAAGGTGGGAGGCAGGACCTGCCCCCAGGTCTCTGAGCTTTGGTTTCCCCCACCCTCTTCCAGGTTTGGGTCTCGCTGTGCCAGGATATTCCGGCTGGTTTTGCGGAAGAAGCACCTGGAGCAGAAGCAGGTGGAAGACTTTGCCATGATTCCTGCCAAAGAAGCAAAGGACATGCTGTATAAGCTGCTGTCAGAAAACCTTATCTCCTTACAGGTAACCAGGGCATGACAGCTACACTACCAAACAGGCAGGACCCAGGCTGAGAAAAACTGCAGGGGTGAGAACCAGGAACAGACCCACAGCACCACCCTGCCCAAGACTTCCGGAGCTTCCAAGCCCTTCTGTATCTCAGTTTCCCTGTGTGAAGTCTGAGAGGAGAAATTACAGAGACAGGACAAGTCACCTAAGGTTTGGTGGGTGACCTCCCTGATCTCAGGTGGAGGACAGAACTGTGAGATGTGTCGTGTCACCCCATCTTCGACCCTGCCCCTCCCAACCCCTAGAGTCGCGGCAGAGGCTTCTCTCAGGTTGTCAGTCCTGTGGAGAATTTTGTAGCAGGCCTTGGGACGAGAGAAAGGAGGAACCATGCTCTGTCAATCAACAAGGATTTATTAAGTGTCGTACTATATGCCAAGTACTGTGCCTTGAAGCTCTGGGCATACAAAGAAAGGAAACAGCCAGGCCTCTCTTCAGGGAGCTCAGTCTAATGGGGCAGAGGGGATAACATGCACATACAAATTATGTATGTATTGGGTATGTACAGGGTCAGAGTAGCTGAGCTTCAGAGACAAGACACTAGGAGAAAAGGGGCCAGGAAAAGGCTTCTTGGAAACAGTTGGATTTTAACTGAGAATTGGAGACTGGGAGTTAGAGGTGAGGAAGAAGGAGGCCAGGAGGGTGGAGGTGAGGGTAAAGAGCATTCCAGCTCTTATTTGGGGGACAGCTAGTCAAAATGCACAGAATCAGGACCAGTGAGAAGGCTGGTGTCACTGGATTGTCATGTAAGTCAGTGGAAATGTGGTATATGAAGCCTGGGAAGAAAAAAGACGCAAAGGAGGGTGGTGTGGTGGACAGAAGTCTGGATTTGAGTCCTGCCTCTGACACACTGGCTGGGTGGCCGCACCCAGACCACAGGCCATCATAAGTAGCAGAGAAGGGGCTGGCCTGTGTTGGTGGAAGTTCCTGCCTGGGAGCACCTTCCCCATTGGTCATAGACAGAGAGATGATGCAGGAGCAAGTATAGGATGTTAGCCCAGGTGGCTCTTGCCCCAAGTCCAGGGACAGGATAGCTGATGAGAAAGAAAAGACCACGGGTAGCAGGACAGCTGTGTGTGCTCTGCCCTTCTCTACAAACAGGAGATCCCTAAAACACCCGACCACGCGCCCTCTCGGACCTTCTACCTGTATACAGTGAATTCCCTGTCTGCTGCCCGCATGCTGCTGCGCCGCTGCTACAAGGTACCTGGCCATGGCGGCTCTTGCTGCAGCTCCCCTTGCTTTACCCCACTTCTCCCAAAATGCTTCTGGGCTTGGCTAGTACCTGGTGTCTGTCTTCTCTTCCAGAGCATCGCCAACTTGATAGAAAGGCGGCAGTTTGAGACCAAAGAGAACAAGTAAGTGGCGATTTGGGTCATCTCCACTGTTCCCTGGGGACCAGCAGTTACAAAGAAAATTCCATATCTAACAGTGACTGTTAACCACTCTGAGAGAGGTGGGGGCCTGCGAACACAGTGGACAGAAGGAAAAGAAAATTAGGCAGCTTCTGCAGATCATGGCGAAGAATGTGAGCATGAATCATTGGGGCTCCTGAAACTCAGGAGTCCCAAGAAGGTAGAAGAGATCAGTTTTATAGTATCCACTCTGGCTAAAGTGCATACACAGGCACAGTTGAAGAAATAATATTCCCTTTTAACTTCATGTGAAATTTACAAATATGACTTCTGTATAAATCCCTTATGTGTGAGTGGGATTAAGGGTTCCCAGAGTTCAGTCCTCTCCACTTCCAGGTGGGTTTGTGGAAGAGTTCCCTAGAAGCCGGCAGTCTTCAGGTTCAAAAGCACATTCAAGGTGGGAGTTTTCCATAAAGGGGTGGGTGTGGTACCCACAGTGGGCAGCGGTCATATCTGAGTGGCACTGTCCATGCCTGGCAGACGATTGCTGGAGAAGTCCCAGCGAGTGGAAGCCATCCTTGCATCCATGCAGGCCACAGGGGCCGAAGAGGCCCAGCTACAGGAGATTGAGGAGATGATCACAGCTCCTGAGCGCCAGCAGCTGGAGAGTCTGAAGCGCAATGTCAACAAGTGGGTGGCATTTGGGGTTCCCCTGATACCCCAGCACCTCTCTTTAGGTGTCTTGAGCTGTTCTTCATGGCCACAGATGATCAGGCACTTTAGGATTGGAAATGCTTTACTTCTATTTCCCTGTTTGAACCTCACCACACCCCTGGGAGGGTCAGTGCTTAGATTGGCCTCCATTTTTACAGATAAGAAAACCTAGGTCCAGAGAAGTTACCTGATTTGTTTCTGGTCACACACCTTGGAAATAACTGAAAGCAGGATTCACACCCAGGTCTTCTGACTCCAAGCACAATCCTCTACCCACCAGGCAGCACTGCCTTCCTGTCAGCCCAACCACTGTCCCCCTCCACCATCCCCCAGTGGGAGCCAAGTCCTTTCAAACATGCTTTTATCTCTCTGCAGGTTAGATGCCAGTGAGATCCAAGTGGATGAAACCATCTTTGTGCTGGAGTCATACACAGAGAGTACCATGAAAAGAGCCTGACTCAAAGGGAAATCCTTCCTTGGAGGAGAGCATGGGGAGGAATACATTTTTAGTATTAGCTCTGCTTTTCCTGTAGGATGCAGATTTGATGCATTACATCAGATTGGTTACTCACCTGCTCCCCAGCCTCCCCCGACCCGGTAGACTCCCTCTGTCAGAGACTGATAACCTTCAGTGTGTGCACCCACAGATTGTGCAAAGGCAGGTGTCCAGTGGCACCCGTGCACACACGTATGCACACACCAGTGCACGTGCCCCAGCCTCCCAGGAATGGATACCAGAAGGAAAAATGGCACCAACTCTTGACAAGGCTGCCAGTCTTGTCTCAGGCCAATGACAGCTTGCTCTTCACACCTCTTTGTGTATGGAGATGCCATCATGAGATACAACAGAGTGAATCCTGCTCCGTGCTTCTTTCATTCTGCCTTTGACTAACAGTGAGTGGTGTATTGGGAGGTAGCTAGATGGCATAATGGACTTGGACTTGGAATCAGCAAAACCTGATTTCAGATCCTGCCTCAGACTCTAGCTGTGTGCCCCTAGGTAAATTCCTTAATCTCTGTAAGCCCTCACTTCCCCATCTGTAAAATGAGGATACCAGTAGGGTCTACCTGACAGAGTTGTAAAAATCAAATGAGATTAATAGAAAGTGCAAACCTGAAAGTGCTATGTAAATGTTAGCTACTATGATGTCTCCCAGGGTTGTATCTGGATCCTAAAGGTGAAGAACCAAAGGCCGGAAAAGGAAAAGTGAAAATGATGCAGCAGAGGGGATGGGGGAAGATAGCCTTTTCAGAGAAAATAATACTTCCCAGGCTTCCAGTACCCCCTAAAATCCCACCTTCCTGCAGGAAGTCTAAGCTAATCTCCTCAATCCTAGAGCCTTCCCTCTGTTGATTATTTCCAGTTTATCCCAGCCATGATTTGTTTATTAATACTTTGCATGTTGTCTCACCATTAGACTGTGAGCCTGGACCCCCTTCCCCTAAAGATAAGTCTTTTATTTATCTTTGTGTCTCAAGGACTTAGCTCAGGGCCTGGCACTTAGTAGGTGCTTAATAAATATTTATTGACTGAGGGTTTTCCAAATGCAATTAGGTGTAGAAAGGTTTGGAAGAGAAAGACAGTCTGACATCAAAGGAATAGTATTAGACTAGGAATCCAAAGTATGCTGCTGCCCCTGTGTGCCCTTCAACAAAAGTGGAGCCCAAGGGCCTCATTTTCCTTATTCACGAAACAGTAAGAGTGTCACCGGCTCTGCCTACCTCAGTGAGTATATGAGGAGCGAATGGAATATGCTCCATGTGAAGATATTAGAAAAGCAGGTGGTTCAGTGCTGCTGTAGGGAGGGCATCAGAAGTAGTAGCATGGTATAATGAATGGAAAGTCCAGGAGCCCAGAAACCTGGCTCTCCTGTTGGCTGACATTCTGAGATATATATATAGATATAGATAGATATATCTATATATAGATATATATATGGCTCCAATTGCCTACTGGCCTTTCCAGTTACCTGAGTGGATTTCTCTCCCCTAATTGGTTTTTCATCTGTTAAATGGGTCTAATAAAGCACCTACCTCACCAGGTCATTGTCAGGATCAAATGGAATAACGGTAAAGAACTTTGCCACCGTTAAAGTGCCGTATAAATGCCAGCCATTATTAACCAATCAATCAAAAGGCAATTAGTAAGTTCCTACAACACGCCAGGTACTAGAGATGAAACATTCCTCCTCGTTCCCAAGGAGTTTCCATTTTATTGGGGGAGGCCACGTGTACACGTAGAAATAGATACTGGGGTGTGTGTGTAGGGTCACCTGTGACTTCAGGGGGCTTTCAAGGAAAATTCGGGGAGGAGTGGGAGCCCTCCGGCGCAGAGTGTCTAATGCATAGTAGGTGGTTACCAATGCGCGTTAAATGACAGGCCCGATGAAAGCGTGGGGTTGGAGGGACCTAGCCTGGTGGCGCGGGCTGCGAAGCGCTTGGAGTGACCGCTGGGGTTTGACTTCAGGCACTGGCGGCCGGGGGTCCCAGCAAGGGGGCCGCTTGGACGCGCCGAGCCCCAGGGGCTAAGTGGCCAGGCCAGAGCCTGGCAGTCGGGTGCAGCGCGGGCCGGAGGCTGCAGCTCCCTACCGCACCCACGCCGGCCGTGCGGCCGGCTTTGTCCCTGCTCTGCCCGCCAAGGGGCGCTGCGTGAGTCGCCGCCCAGGGTGCCCCAGCCATGGCGCAGGCCCGTGTGCTCCTGCTCCTCTCGGGGCTCTGGGAGCCCGTGGGCTTCGCGCGGAGCGTGTGCGGCCTCCTGGGCCTGGGGCCCGGCCCGGGGCCCTGGCGGGTCTACTGCGGCTTGGAGCGGGGGCGGCTGCTGCTCTCGGACCGCTCCTTTTCGGGCGCCACGGCGCAGCTCCCGCTGCAGGTCTGGCCGCCCAGCTCCTGGGGGGCGGGGGGACGGGAAGAGAGGGGGGAAGAGGAAAGCGTGGTCTAGGGGAGGGATCCGGAGCCTGCAGAGAGCCCCGATCCCCACGAGCGCCGGCCTCGGTGACCCCGACTTCCCCACCCACTGCAGCGCTCCCGGTTCTGCCCCTTCTGGGCCCTGGAGCAGCGGCCCCCGGGAGCTGCGGGGCCGAAGCAGCCACCGGACCGCGGAGTGGACTTGGGGGTGGCTGTCATCCTGCAGTCCCGTGACCAGACCGTGCTCCTGACCCGGAGGGCCTCGAGCATGCACACGGCCCCCCAATCTCTGGGTCCCTCCAGGTGAACCCTTTCCTACCCCAAGCCCAGAAGGGGAGGCCGGCACGCTGGGGAACTTCTCCTGGCCCTCGTGCGGCCCTTTCCCAACCTCGTTCGGCAGAGACCCACATTTCATTGGCTTTGATGCCCAGCCACGGGGGCCCAGGATGGGTGTGGAAGTGGAACGCAGGTTCATGGCAGGGACCAGGCTCCTCTGTAGTTGTAGGATTTGGGTTTCCCTGCGCATCGGAGGAAGTGGGGGAGAAGAGCGAAGGGGTCCCAGATTAGGGCACACAGTCACCACCCCTTTGTTATTGTAGGTGGACACGTGGAACTGGATGAGGAGGTAACTACAGCTGTTATGCCCTGAACTTGGAGGGATGAATGGATGCCTCCTATCGGGGGACCACCCCTGGTGGCCCTGAAACAACTGCATTGGCCTGGGTCGGGGAGGTGGGAGCCCAGGACTTGGGGAGAGAACCAGAGCAGCCTCACAGCTGCCTCTTCCAGATGTCAGCTCTGGCTAGCCAGCTGACTCTGTTTCCTCTGATCTCCAGCTGCTGGATGGAGGGCTTCGGGAGCTGTGGGAGGAGACAGGTCTGCAGCTGCCCCAAGGCCAGTACTCCTGGTTCCCTCTGGGACTATGGGAGGTGAGAGTCCATGAGAAGACTGCTTTTTGTTCAAGGGCCCACCACCAGCAAGTATGGAATCAGCCCTCTGCCCAAGGGAGAACAGTCACACACACACACACACACACACACACACACACACATGCCCCAGACTACAGCCCAGGTGTCTCTTTCTCCAATAGCCTATAACCTTTTCTGTCCACATACCCCCTTATGTTTTGACTGCTGAGAAGCATTTGGGGTTGGGGGATCCTGTCTGGATCCAGAAAATCTTCACCTGTTGTGTTTCTCCTCTCCTAGTCTGCGTATCCACCCATGCTGAACCAAGGCCACCCCAGATACCACCATATCATTCTCTACATACTGGTGACTTCCCAGGAAACAGAGCAGCAGCTACAGGTAGAGCTGATAGTGGGGCAGGGAAATGTGTCTGTGGGTAATGGGGGAAGTTGGTCTATGAATAAAAACCTAGACAGTGGAGAAAAGCTCTCCCCGTGTGTCCCCCACAAAGACTCTGACAGGTATCTGGTGAGTCAGTTGTGATCAGGGGCCACTGAGGGCAAGTGTCTGACCCCCCAGGAACGGATCCAACCAAACCGGGAAGAGGTCAGTGCCTATGCCTGGCTGAAGCCCAATGTATTGGCAGCCGTGGCAGCCTCTGAAGATGGACCAGACATGACTGAACCTCTCCTTCAATACCTGCCACCCTTTGTTCAGTAAGTAGAGATCACTCCCACCAGTCTGCCCGCTTGGGTCCACGTATGTCCACTCTACTATAATCCCTTGGCCATTTCCGGGAAAGGCATGAAGAATGATGATGCTTCTAGGAATCCTAGACCCTGACCTGTGTCCCTTCTGTTCCAGGGTCATGGAGCTTCAGGGAGATGTGGCCCAAAGCCTGGACCTGCCTGTGTCCACCCTGCTCCGGACATCTCTGAACACAAGGGAGAGTGAAGAGAGGGTCAGTATGGGAACTAAATTTGCTCTTGGTCTATGGCTACAGAATCTGAAGAGGTAAGGGAAGAGATGTGTACAGATCTAAACCGGTCAGTTTTAGTGCTTTAACTGGGAGGGCAGGGCTGAACACTGTTAGGAAAAAGGGGAAGAAACCTTGAACACAGATAGGACTGTGACTTTTGATTCCAACACCTATTAATCTCATGATCAGTCTTCCTTTCTTCTGCTGTAAAATAGAGATATTGGCACTACTTCCCTCATAGGTGAGGAAAACACTTTGTAAACTCTTTCTCAATGCTGTATAACTGTGTATAGGAGGCCACAACATCCTTTTTGTCCTGTTATCCTGACCATAAGTCCTCAAAGTATCACACACACCCCTCCCCAAAGCCAGAATCAGAATGAAACTGGACATCAGATGCCACTCCTCCTCAGGACCACTAAAGGAGGCAAAGCCTTCATCTTTCAAATACAGACATCAAGAAAGCCAAATAGATGAGGCACTCTCCACTTCCCTAAGGACACACATAGGATTCACAACCTTTATTGTCGGTGAGAACATTGCTACAACTTTGGAAATATGAAATTAAATTAAAACAAAGGTCATAAAAGAGGGAAGGGTGAATCTGGGGGAGGGGGGACTGAATGTCTCCCCCCCCAAAGGTGCAGAATGAGTTCCATGACCATAACTCTTAAGACTATGGATCCCACTGGAAACTCAGACCCCAGGATAGGGAGGCCTTGGGGAATCATCATCAACTTAAAAAAATATATATATATATATATATATATGTATATATATATATATATATATATATATGTATATATATATATATACATATGTAAATAGAGAACCAGGCAACAAGACTCCTCTCCCATCCCAAACCTTAGAGAGACAGAGGAGGCAGATCTCCTCATCTCATCCTCAGTTAGACTGAGAAAGGAGCAAGGGTCATCTTTGGAGTTTTTTGGTTTTTCTCATTTATGTACAAAAAGCTGCAACTGAAAATAGAGATCTCAGGCCCTATCTTTGTCTCTCCATCTGTCTGTCCCATATGCGGAAGGGGAATGAATGGACATAGAAGCAATACTGGGTGTATTGAGGGGGACCAGTCGAGATCTCCCATCCAACCATCCACCCACCGGCACTCACCCCATTCCCACTCCAGCTGCTTCAGATCTAGATCTGAGACACATGGAGCAGTAGGGGATAGGAAGAAAAGAATGGAAAACCATCCAGGCCCAAAACTTAGGCACAACTCTTACATCTCCCTGCCCCTTCTTGGCTTACATGACTCCATCTGAAGAGCATTTCCAAAAATAAACCCAAAATGTCCTTTTAAAGAGGTTAAATATTAACCCTTTGGGTGCTAGCCTCTCCCTCAGCAGAGAGGGGGCCAGGAGCACAGGTCCATGAGTTTCTGCTTGTAGCCTCTGGCCAGAGCCCCCAAGGGAATCAGTTCACAGGGCTGAGGGGCAGGGCTCCTCTGCTGTCCTCACTCAGTGGTGAAGGTGGGTGAGGAGGTCCGGAACCCTAGAGTTTCAGTCCAGGGAGATAATGTCTGGCCGACAGCCAGTGAGGGAAGAGCCTGGAGGGAGGGGTCCCCCGTGTCCATCCCTCAGGGCCCCCCCAGGGGCCACAATGCTGCTGACTCGGCCAGAAGGGGGGTGCTGGAGGCGAGCCTCTGTGAGAGCTCCCCAACACAGGAGCCAGCGGACCCAGGAAGTGGGAAGGGGTGCCTCGGTACTGGAAGAAATGGCCAACAGTATCCTGCTCATCTATTGAAGTGATGACTGAGGGACTGTAGTGCTGAGGGGGAATCAGGAGAAAATATTTAAGACTTCACCCTTCCCCCACCCCCATCTCCTGCCCCTTACAGACACTTCCCACATACTCCCTCCACATCTTACACATCCCAGAGAAGGCTGACTAATCCACTTAAGGATTTTTCTCTCAAAAGACCTGCTCACCAAGGATGTGAGAGCGTTTATCCCCAGCTAGAGACATCCCCTACCTCTATCCCCCTCCAATGTTGTGGGCGTTTAGAATGAATAGAATGTCTGGGCATGAGAAGGGCGTGGCTTGGTACATGTTGGGGGGGGGTGAGGGGGGGAGGGGTGGAAAGAACTCTGGGACCGGTAGATTGGGATATCTGGGTTCTAGTTCCAGCCTAACTAGCCACCAGACCTCCTGAGCCTGTTTCCTAATCTGTAAATTGAGGAATATCTTCCAGCTCTAAAATTAAAATTCTGCTACTCAGAGCCCCAGAAAGAAATAAGCTGCCGGCCCATCACCTCAGGCTCATCCCATGTGGCAAAAAGGGAGGAACAGTGGGCTCCTCACAGCCAGAGCAGATCCCTTGGCAAGAGTTAGAAAGAAAACCTCTAAGAGGTTACAGAGATTGGACACTTTGGTGGAAGGAGAAAGGAGCTCTCACCTGACTCTCGTTCTGAAAGAAAGTAAATAAGTCCAAACCTGGGAGGAAATGGAAAGAGAAAAGTCAAAGTCATTCAGCATCTGCTGCCCACAATTTCCCAGATGTGGGGAATTCCCTGAGAAGTTATAGATATCTGAGGAGCAGGGAGCAGGAGGTGCAGAGGGGCTTCTTATGGAGGGACCCATATTTGGGTCTAGGTCACACATACCCTGGATTTCGGTCCCCAGTGGAAATGCTGGTGGATAGTCGGGAAGAGGAAGGCTGGACAGGAAGTCACTGCCCAGGGTGCTTATACCTGGGCTACGGAGTACAGATGATGGCTGGTGATTGGTAGCCAGTACTCTGTAAGGAGAGAGGAAGCTGGGAAAACCAGCTATAGTCACCCCTGGGGGTCTCCCAAAGTCCACACCCATCTCCTTCTTTGTGTCCCAAATCAGCCCGGCCTCCATGCCAGCCCCAGCCCCTCACTACTACACAGAAAAGTAGGCATATCTTCAAGAGGCAGCGTTGTGACCTCCCTTGTTCCCAATGCCCATGTCTGCCCAGTGATCTTGGGAAGACTTCTTGCTCTAAACCCTGTCCTCTCCCCCAACTTCTTTCTCAACCCGATTCTCTGTACCCTTTGCCTCCAAAGGGGCCAGGGATGGCAGCTGAGGTGACTGGACAGTGCTTCTTGGCAGGGGGCAAGTCTTCCTCATCGGAAGAGCTGTCAAGTGTCAGGTCGATAACCTCAATCTTCTTCTTGGTTTCCGGGGGCTTGCCCTCAGGGCCAGGGCCAAAGGGGGGACCTGGAGATGTTGGAAGGACTTTATCTCAGGATGGGTGTCATTAGGACATAACCTATGGGAGAAATGGTCATCTAACCCTAAACCCCAACTGGGAGTCAACAGGGCGCCATGGGTTACTCACCATCTAACCCATACCCTGGCGTGGGGCACACCTCTGGTGTTTCCTTCTTGGGCCTCATTGGGCACCAGGAGCCATCTTCCATGAACTGGATCTCATCACAGTCAGTGCACGAATTCAGAATCTCCATGAATAATCTGGGAGAAGGAAGAAGAAGGTTATGGAGGGTCGTGATAAGATTCGGGGATATAACTGTCCAAGGTTACATCAGCCGAGGGCAAGAGAAAAGCAGGAATTTAGGAGCAATGTGAACTACCTGAGGAGGGGCACTGGGGAGAGGGACAGAAACGTGAGATCTCCAGGGTGAGTCTGGCTGGGTGGCAGTAGCCACACCCATCAGTGCCCAAGCTCTCCTAGGGGGTATTCTTGCTGTCCATGTCAAGGGAAAAGAGGGGATTTATCTGGGTGTCCTGGACAAGTGGGAGCAGAGGTGGCCGTACCCATCTATGACCAGAGATTCATAGGGAGCCTTCTTGTCACACACAGGGCAAGTCCATGTTGGCTTCTTCTCATTCATCTGCAGGTAGAGGGCAGCATCGAAGCTCTGTAGGTGGGCACAGGTGAGGGCCCGGCATGGGACAGCCAAACGCATCTTCCCTAACTGAGGAAAAGCAAGACTTCTCATCACGTTTCCTCTAGCCAGCTTTCTCCTTTCTGGGACACTTTATCACCATAAACAGAAACACTGGGAGTCCAGCTCAGCCTTCCCACCCCTGTCCCATCCCAAAAGTCTCTCCTCTTCCAGTACCCACCGGGCACATGAGTGACACCCGAAGGCTTGTGGTGGCCACCTCACTGTCAGGGTCAGCTGTCAATTTCTCCTTGACTGAAAAGAGACCGAATCCAAGGTCATGAGATCAGAATAGCCAGGGAGGAGCCCCAGGGGCCAGTGACAACAATAAACAAATCATGAGACAGGACTGAGGTCCATAGGGGATCACCCAGGAAAAGTCAGACATGAAGAAGGTTTGGGTTGGAAGAAAGTGTGAGGGTGAGGCTCATCACCAGTGAGAGGAGAATGGGGTGTTGATCTTATAACTCACTCAGTGCCCGAGAGTGGTCTGGATTCCGGATGCCCTTGGCTCTCAGTTTCTGCAGGAGCGTCACTGAGGTCAGCTGCCTCACTAGGTACACCGACAGCGAATAATTCTGGGGAGAATGTCAGTATCTGTTTCCCCTGTTACCATGGTACTTACTCCCAAAGCCAGGCAGGGGGGCCAGAGGCACTGGATTATGCTAACCAACCCAAGAGAAGTATATCCCCTCCCCTAAAATCTAACCCTCAGATACCACATGCCTCACCTCTTCCCCTCCAGTCATCGCAGCCAGGGACCCCTCCTGCCCCAGGCACACAGCTCACCCGTCCGAACTCAGATGACCAGTTGACCACAATAGTATTGGGGACAGTGGCTGAAAGTCGAACTAGGGATGTGATGTTGATAGGTCGGCTGGGCCTTTTGGGTTCAGCCCCGTTCTTGGTTGGGGGAAGATAACCCTAGAGATAATGGGTGGTGAGGGAGGTCAGGGCAAAAGCAGCCCTGGTATCTATGCAGCACGTTAGGGTCTGCTATATCTCATCACCATTGATAAGGGAGGTTGGTATTACACATATACCCTTTTAGGCAGGAGTATCCCCATTTGGAAGGGAGATAGATCTGTAAAGGGCAAGGATGTAGGGATGGGACTGCTAGAAAAATGGTACCACCCGATGACGTGAAGACTGTTGGGACAAGTTGGGGGGGGTCAGAAATGGGTCACTTACCGGCAAGGGGCACAGTTTCCCATTAACCTTGACAAAGAGGTTAGGAGGAAAATAATCTTCCTGCGGACAGCTGGTCTCACAGAGACAGAACCTAATTAAAGATTTTAGGAGAGGGGGGAGAGAAAGTTCAGGGAGTTACCATCTAGAGGTCTAGCTCCTGAGGCTATGAGTCTGCAGACAGAAGGAGAAAATAAGAGCCAAACCCAGGGATAAGACTGTTATTTCTTCCCTACAAAGTTCAAGGAAAAAACTCCCTCCTTCCTTTATCCCAAAGGAAAGAATTATCTACCTCTGGACGAGGAATGAAAGTGTCCTGAAAACAAGATCTGGATGATGGGCAAGCAACCGTCTGAGATGTGCCAATCGGATAATACATTGAGGAACATATTTAATAACACTTTTTTGAATGAATATATTTTAATGTGTCAGAAAATGCCACTCTCCATAGCAAATGGGCATTTATTTTGTGATTAATCAAGCTGCATATGTCTCACAGCAAACAAGAAAAGCCCCTGTGGGACAGTAAACACAGGACATGGAATTTTCAAACCTTCCCTGGGATTGCCTTTCTACCCCGTTGGTCTCAGGAAGCCAGTGGGGATATGGACCACTGTTTCCCAGAGTGCGGGGTGAAGGGGAAGGAGAAGGGTGTCTTCTGGGACTCATCTCACCTGAGCTGTACCTGTACTGTATAGTCACACTTGGCCCCAGGCAGGACATCCCTACAACAGAAAGAAGGAAAGAGAGATTGCAGAGTGTGGGGCAGGGGAAGAAGACAGTCTGGTGGGGAGGGGGCACTGAAGGAAGCCCAGAGGATGGACGTACAGATGAGGGGGACCGATGGGAAGGCAAATTGGCTAAGGCCAAGTTAGACAGGAAGGTAGATGGAAGCTCAGAGCTACAGCCAAGAGCTGAGGACCAAAGGCCAGGACGCAACAGCACGATCGAGGACGAGGGGAATCCGGGGGAGGGGTACCTGGAGGTGAGAATCTGCTGTACTTGCTGTGGCGTCAAGGCGAAGGTGAAATGAGCCTCCTCAAACCTCTGGCTGTTCGTGGATGCTAGGTACACAGGGGACCAGGGACACGGTTACTGAGCAGGCCAAAGGTCAGCCATGAACCTTCCCTGCCTGAGAGCTCCGCCCGTTGGGACAACAGGTTGTGGCTGTCCAGCTGTATCCAACTCTTCGTGACCCCCTGGACCACAGGGCGCCATTGACTAGGGGGTTTTCTCGGCAAGGATGCTGGAATGGTTTGCCATTTCCTTCTCCAGTGGATTGAGGCAAACAGGAGGTAAGCGACTCGCCCAGGGCCTCACACATTGTAAGTGTTTGAGGCCATATTTGAACTCAGACCCCTTCTATCTACTGAGTCATCTAGCCGTCCCAACAATAGGTTAGCTCCTTATTTAGGATGGGAATGTAAATGGCGAAGTGTGGAAGACAGGGTCGTGCTCATACCAAGCACTGTCAAGGGATCTATTACGTCAGACTCAAAGGGACGATGATAACATACCAAGGGTAGTGGGCCGGATGAGTTCCCCATACACATCATAGAAGGGCAGTGGCCTCATCGTAACATCAGGGTGGACTGGCTGGGGCAGGGAAGGGTGGACATCAGCCTCACGTTTAGGTCCTCCCAAGAGGGGTCCTGAAGGCAGGAGGGTGGAGGGGGCAGGAGGCAAGGGGCCAGGAGGGACGATGGGTGGGGCTCCAGGGGGCAGAGACAGCAGTGAGAGCTCAGAAGGTACAAGGGCCTTTCGGGGGAAGCGACGGCGGTAAAGTTCTTTGATCTTCATCTGGACACTGGGGCCACAGCCAGACTTGAGAAGCTGCAGGGCCTTGGTCAGTAGCTCGTGTTTTCTCCCACTCTTGTTTCGGCCTGCAAAGCCCAGAAGCACCTGGAGCTCAGACACTCGGAAACTCATCACCATGTGCTGGGGAAAGAAACAGCCACATGGGTGAGCTGGGGTAAGGATCCCAAAGACAGAGACTGACCTAGCCAGGCCTCCCTGCTAAGGGGGAGCCTACTCCCCACCTCAAGAGAGGGGGAATAATTCTACCATAACCCCTCACAACTAGACATAAACAGATGCACTCCTAAAGGAAGCCTGTCTTTCTGCTGAGGAATCACTTAAAGGGGCCCAGACAGAGGAAGAACTTCACATGGCTAGATGGGACAACCTGGGCCCAGAAGGAGATAACCCAACCTAAAGGAAAAGGTTAGAATCCCTCTCCTTGTCTCCCCTCACTCACACAGTAGACAGAGTTCCACTTCCTATTCCTGTTTCAACAGGCCCCCAGTTCAGTGTCTCTACCTCCCCCCCCACAAGCTTCTCCCACCTAGAGGGACCTGAACATACCTCTCTCCTTTCGGTAGCTAACAATAGGCCCGGAAAAGCCAGCATAGACAGAGGAGGAAGTAGCACTGCAACCCCCCCATCACCTCCCTCCTTCTCTCCCCACCTTAACTCTAGCACCACCACAAAGCTCCTAACCCTCTCCTTCCTGCTTATTTTTAGATTCCCAGACCCACCCCAGCTTTCTAAGAGATGAGGCAAAGGGGGAAAAAAAGAGGAAGAAAGGAAGAAGGACAGGGGGAAGAGAAAAAAGAGGAAGAAAGGGAAAAGAACAGGCCTAGGTCCTGGGGAGGGAGGGGAACAGAGAGACTGGGACCAGGTGGTTGGAGGATCTGTACGTAATTCCCAACCCCCACTTGTACCTCATTCCATGTAAGTAAGCCTTGGGGCCTAGGCTTCTAGGGAAGGTTTCAATACCCTTTAAATCCCTCACCTTCAGTCTCATGACCCTACCTCAAGATCTCCCCATTTTGGGCAAAGGGAAACTAAAGCCTGTAGCAGAGGGCACAGAATACCACAGAACGCTGGAATCCCACCAGAAACTGGCTTTCCCCCTTCCTCGGGAGTATAGGACTTGACATTGGCTAGGACTTTCTTTTAATAAAGGGGAGAGGGGCTGGAGCTGATCCCTGAAGGAAGGAGGTTCCTCTCCCCTGCTGAGATCCAGATGGTAAAGCTCTGACCTGATCCCCCAGGGAGAAGGCTTATGGATGGAGAAGAAAGAGGGAGGGGAAGAACATCTTGGCAGAATGGAATCACAAATCCACCAGGCCCGTCCTCCAGCCACTGGTCTGACAGGGAGTACCAAAGACTCGGCCAACAATACCTATAATGTCCCCCCAAATCACTGCTCCATTCCCAAAGAAGAAAGGAGAAGAATGTCTGAAATGGAGGGGATAGACTGCCCATGGCCTCTGTGCAATATTATCATCAATCAAATGACAGAAAATTGGTAAAGCAGAGTGCCTGGCACACAGTAGGTGCACAATCAATGCATGTTCCCTTTTCCTTTCCCTGTTGGATATTCTCTGCAGAGGGGGTGGCAAGTTCCACAAAGGAATTACCACTGAGATACTGCCAGCTGTGAGCATCCTCAGCCTTAATCAGAACCTCAGTACCTTTCCTGCAGGCCTCGCCCCCTAAAAACCAAAGGCCAGCTCAATGACTGGAGATCTCTTTGAGGAAGGAGACTGCCGATTTCCCAGCCTTTCCTCCCAAACCAGCCCCTCCTATGTCACTACCACATGTAGCCTTTTTTTTTTCTATCACCTGTAGATCTCTCTCTTACCTCCACAGCACACTGACATCCTGACATCGGTTCTCCTGACATTGGGCCCTTCCATAGTCTCATTCGAGCATTCCCGAATCTTGCCCACAGCTCTATCTCCCCCAATATTCCAGCGCCCTCCTAGAGCCCCATCCCCACCTCTTTTCCATCTCCCACAATTCTCTCCCTGTGCCCTCCCACCGCCTGTTCTCTAACTCGGTACCTTTCCACAGCCTCATCCCTACATCCCTGTGACTCCGACAATCTTACGCCTTGCCCTCCCTCAGCTGCATCCCTACGTCTCCGTCCTCTCCCACCGCCCCCATCCCCACGTCTCTGCCCTCTCCCACCGCCCCATCCCCCCGTTTCCCCCACACACACACAAGTGGGGATATTCCTCTCCACACCTATGTTTGCATGGCACCGACCTCCGGGGCCGGGGGAGTCTCGAAGGAGATAACGTATGTGCAAACCTCCAAGCGCTGCGTAGATGTCAACGACGGCGACGGTGCTCCCCCTGACCAGATCGCGCTGGCTCCCGGGTGCCCCCGCTCCCGGAGGTCCCAGCCCCCGCTCCGCTCCCCCCAGCCCCGCCCCCGTGGCCCTGCCCCCCGCGGGCCCTGCCCCTCCATCCCTGCCCCGGAGGCCCCCGCCCCTGCGCTGCCCACGGCGCCGGCTCCCTGAGCATCGCCATCCGCACCGCCCCAAGCCCGGGACCCCCGCGTAGTCCGCCGCGTCCCTGCCCCCAGAGCCCATCCGCTCCAGGTGTCCTCGCGCCCGCATCCCCCCCTGCCGCCTTCGGGCTCGGCCCCCAGGCCGCCCGCACCCTCTCCAAGCCGCTCCTCCCCCGCTGCCCAGCCGCCCGGGCCGCCCGGGCTCGGGCTCCGGAGGATCCGGGGGGTCCGGTACCTTTAACTCGCCCAGCTCCGCCATCTTGAGACATCGCAGGCGCCGGAGCCCAGGCCCAGGGACCGGCGCGCAACTCCCCACCCCGGGGCCGGCCGCAAACATCGCCCGCCCCGCCCCGCCCCGTCCGGCCTCCTCTCCCGGCCTCTCCCCCTCCCAGCCCCAGCCCCGCCCGTTCGGCTCCGGCCAGGCCACGGCCTCGGCCTCGGCCTCCTCCCCCTCATCCTCCCCCTCTTCCTCCCCCACAGCTGGAAGCGCCGGCCGCGGCACATCTGGCGCGGAGGGGGATGGGGAGGCGGCCGGCGTGGGGCCCGCGGAGGTCTCCGAGCATCGTCAGAGGAGAGTCGGGGGCAACGCGGGTGGGCCGGGGAGTCCCGGCGTCTCCGAGGGGGCGGGCTGGCGGAGGGAGGCTGGCCCGGGCGCTGGGACCCGGGACAGACCAGGACCCCGAGTTGACGGGCTCCACGGGCACGCAACGCCGTGGCCAGGGGGTCGGAAGCGGCTGGAGTCACGGATCCTCGGAGCTGAGAGTCTGGCTAGCAGGGGCCATGCAGCCCTGCAGGAGATCCCAGGGAGAGGGGTCCGCAGACTCGGCTCTGTCCGGGGGGCTCTGGACTCCTGGACGCGCGAGCCGTGAGTTCTTCCCCCCCGCCCCTGGTCCGCCCCCACCTCCAAGTTCTGGTCCAGGGTCGGGCCGAGGACCTGAAACCTGGGAGCAGAAAAGTTTGGTGCTGGGGGCGGGACTTACCGGCTCCGGCTCCAGGGAGGGGGAAGGGGCCCCGGGGGGCTCCGGGCGCTGGAACGGAAGGTGGGGATGGCCGGAGAGCGTAATCAGAGGCGTCCCAGCGCTCCCCACCGCTCCAGTTGGGTCCGGCAGTTCGGACACGGTGCCGAGGAGCTCAGTCCAGTCCTGGACTCCGGCTGGGGCCGCCTCCTTGCTGCCCCTCTCCGGGGCAAACCCGACCGGGCCTGGGAGAGGGGCGGGGCTAAAGGCGGACCCGGGACCTAAAGGCGGACCCGGGGCCGGGGTGGGGGGGGGGATTAACTCCTTCCGTTGACAGACCGGGAGTTAAGTCTAGGAGTCTTGAGTCTGGGGTGTAGACGGTCCACTACCCTCTTCCCTACCCCCATCTCCCCTAAAACTCCCATCCCTTCGAGGTTGGTGGAAGGAGCAGGGATGGAGACTTGAAAACTGGGGTGGGGGAGAGTGTTCCCATCAAGGACAGCACAGGTCACCCAAAAAAAGCTGCAAAAAGCCCCATTTCCCACCCCCCTTCCACCTTGGTTATAATGTATGGGTGAACTGATCAGCTCCATAGAAGCTTAGTTCTAGAGCAGGAAGAGACATCAACATTCTAGTAATCCTACCGCTTCATTTTACAGATAAGGAAACTGAGACCCAGAGAGCCTGTGACTTGCCCAAACTAACAGATGTAGCAAGTGTTGGAGGCAAGATTTGTATCCTGTGCCCCAGGGGGCCAAAGCCCCATGCTTATCTTGGTGAGCTGGAATACCCCTTCCTGGGAAGAAGCCCAGAAAGCTATAATTAGAGGTATACCCCAGTGCTCCTCCCCCAAACACACCTTTCTGAGGCACTAACACCCTCATGGAAGATGAAAATGGAGTGAGTTAGTGCAGGGAAAAACTAGGTAGTTGGGAACTCCCCTGTCCCGCTTTGCTTCCCAGGATATTCATCCTTGGCTGACAGAAATCAATAGCTCTTTCCTTACCGAGGCCTGTTCTCTGACCCGACAAATAAGTTATTTGCAGGCCCAAGAATTAGGTGGCTGGCTCTGTCAACTACCTCAGCCTAAACGCCATCTTTGAGGGCGATGCATTTACATTATTAGGGGGTGGGAGTAAGCAACTAGTGTCATAGAATTTCAGAGCTGATAGGGACCACAGAATTCACCCTAGGCCAACTCCACCATATAGTTTATCCCAAAGAGGGATAATTTCCTAGCCACCAAATGGGATGCAAAGGAGCATCCTGGAGTTGAGGTCTGGGTGGTGGAGGTTCAGTGGAAAATCAGGCTGGATTTGCAGCGAGAGGACCTGGATCTATTCTGTTCTGTCTCTGTCACTACCTCTGTGATCTTCAGCAAGTCAGTTTCTCTCTCTGGGCCTCAGTTTCCTTATCTGCAAGATGAAATTGCCCTATTTGTCCCCTAAAAGCTCTTCCACTGAATCGTGATCTATCCTGACCCCACCTGGGTGGAGTGGTAGAATAGACAGAAGAAATTCTAGCTCATTAGACCCTAAGCACCATAGGGTCAGGGACAAATTTTATGTAAAGCAGAGGTTCCCAAAGTGGACTATACCACCCCCTGGGGACACAGGAACAATCCAGGGGGGTGGTAGTAGCCTCTGGTACAATTGAGGGGCATTGAATAAAAATAAGGGGGCGATGGAAGCATAAGGAAAGAAGAAAAGAAAATTTTGAGAAACCGTTGGTACATTGTTTCATCTGTTGTGTATCAGAGTTAAAGTCCTAGTGATTCCATTATTTTCCAAATAAAAACAAAATGCAAGTTATAACCTATCAGTGGATAAGTCTACTGACGGGTCTTAACAAGCGAGTGTTGGCAGGTGAGCATGTCTCATGCATTGTGCATTGTTGGGAAGTCCAGCGTGCATCAGCAGGAATAAGCAGGAATATGTTCGTGTAATGGCTTGTTTACAATATGATACTATAGGGTTACATGATGAAATATTGCATTATCAAAATTTCAATGCAGGAAAAAAAATTTATAATGCATTATTAAATTTAAGGTGCATCTTTTAAAAATTTTTTATATTTTTCAATTGACACAAGTTATAAAAAAAAAAAGTTAAAGGGTTAAAGAAAATAGATTTCCGGGGCGGGGGCACTGAGTAATTTTTTTAAGAGGGGACAGTAGGCCAAATAAGTTTGGGAACCTCTGAAAAGATAGATGACACAGTGGATAAAGTGATGGTCCTGGAGTCAAGAAGACCTGATTTCAAATTCAGCCTCACACATTTACTGAGTGACCTAAGTGGGCAAGTAAGTCGCTTCACCTCTGTCTGTTTCAGTGTCCTCATCTATAAAATGGGAGTGATAATAAAGGCACCTGCCTCTCAGGGATGTTGTGAGGATAAAGCGAGATATAAACCTTAAAGTGCTGTTGTTATTAATAAACTTTGCGTGGCACCAAACACATTATGTCAGTGTTTGTTGAATTTCCCAACCTCCTCCCTTTCTGGATTTTCAGGTTGCATCCTTTCCATTCAACCCAATCCAACCAGCTGTCCTCAAGCACCCCTCCTGTACAGAGCCATGTCCTGCTGCTGCTTTCCTGGGACTGCTGGTCAAGGTGATCTTCCTCCAGTCCATTGCTTTGAATCCAAGGCCTCACGTTCACCCCAGGTGCAGACACAACACTTCATTCACAATCAGGCAAGCAGAATGGGTGAGGACTGGGGTTAATGAACCCTCCATTTAGGAAAAAAGTTTATTTACAAAACAAATTCCAGAGTCTGAAGATCTTAGGTGTTTGTTTTAAAAATAAGATGGTGTGTTAGGTAGGGGTTGTTTTAGGCTTTGGGACTAGCATCAATCTTCTTTATTTTACTGCTTTATCATTCCTTCTTCCCCCAGATCCCTGTGTCCTAAAGCAAACTTCCAGAAACCCTGGAGAGAGCCAGGAAGCCTGGCTTCTATTGCTAGGGTCTTTCCTGACTTACTCTGTAAACCTTGGCCAGGCCCACCCCCCCTTAAAAAAAAACCAAGACCTTTTCTTCCCCCTGCCTCAGTTTCTTCCTCCTTTCCGGCTGACCCCATGAAACACAATGATGAATAAAACAAGCTCTTCTGTCTGTTCTCAGCAAGAAAAAGAAGGAGGAGGAATTCTATTCAGATGACCACACGTGAGCAGGACCTTTTTTTGTCTTTTAAGGCAATTGGGGTTTAGTGACTTGCCCAGGGTCACACACCTAGTAAGTGTCAAGTGTTTAGTCTGAGGCTGGATTTGAACTTTGGTCCTCCAGACTTCAGTGTATCCACTGTGCCACCTAGCTGCCCCTAGGACACTCTTCTTGCAGATGTTTTATGTATCTTCCCCACTCCTCCATTCCATCTCTCCTCACCCCCCCAACCCCACTCCATGGCTTAAAGCAATCTCTACTCCCCCACACCCATTCACTGGAACTGACATATCTGTGGACCACAGGTACAATCCCTGGGGGGCTGATCCAGATTCTGAGCTGCTCCTCCCCCACCCAAATCCTGGAGAAAGCAGCTCCATACACACCCCCACCCCCAGTCTCCTTCAAGGTACCACCTCCCCATTCTTCTCTCCTACTCTTTTATACACACATCATCATCATCATCATCATCATCTGCCATATGGAAATGTTTAAACCTGAGGCTTATGAGCCAAACTACAGGCAAATGAATTCTGTTCAGCAGTACTCCAATCTCCATTCCCCATCCACATGCCAGCCACTGTACCTGCTCTGCCATCATCACATCCCAACTCCAGCTGGGATTTGTGTGTCCTAAAGGCTTGGGGGATTGTGGAAAGGGGATCTGGGGGAGACAGGTTGCAAAGATTCCTTCACTGTCAAACCAAAGCCCTACTTAATCCATCAGATGATAGACCTGGGCCTGTGATTTTATTGGTGTAAGAAAATCTCAGGTAAGGAAACTAACCAGTGCGGTTGGCACCTTTTATCACAACTTAGTCTTCAGAGAATAGTCGAGGGTACTTAGAATTTAAGTGACTTGCCTGAAGTCCATATAGCTGGTATGTCAAGACGCAGAACTTGAACCCACATCTTACTGGATTCAAGGCCAGCTCTAGAGCCCCTAGATCATGCTGCCATTGTACAGAAATAACAGGTTTGGAGGGACCAACCTCTAGGGCTACAGGGATGACAGTGCTCCCACTCTTATCCAGCAGTGTGGTAGCTTTGGGGTTTGGTGCAGTAAAGGGAGTAGTAGAAGTCTTTCAAGAATAAAGAAAGCTTTGCTCCATTGGAGGGGGGGTGTCCCCAGTAGGTCCACTCTTCGTCCTGGATGGAACATAAAACGGCTCTCTACCCCTAATGTATCTTTCCACACTAGACAAAAAGCAAATATAGACTCACTCAGAGGCCTTAAGGAGGAGGAGAGATTGTAATTATCTGCATTTGAAAGCGTTGGCAAAAGGAAGGATCATGTCAATGACCTCCCTTTGGGGGAGAGGCCATTTGTGGCTAAGGCAAAGGGAGCTAGGAAATGCATGTCCACCCAGACCCCAGACCAACACAATACTGCCTTCTGCTTTATTTCCCACAGAGCTGGCTTCTTCCATGCTTTTCTTCTGGCTCCATCAGTCCTGCATCCAAGGTCTAGCTTCTCAGATCTGGGGTTCTTCATGTCAGGAAAGTCCAGCCCACACCACTGCTATAGGCCAGCCCCCCCCCCCACCACACCATGGCCATGGTTCTGGCCTCTGATGCTGCCCTTGCCCTCTGGGGGGGAAAAAAAGAAGAAGAAGAGGACATTAAGAAGAAAACACATGCATTCTAGCTTTCTCAATCCCTACACAGCCCCGCATGAAATCCTCAAAGAAGATCCCATATGTGTGAACTGGGACAGCTAGGTGGCACAGTGGATAGAGTGTTGGGCCTGAATTCAGGAAGATTCATATTCCTGAGTTCAAATCTGGCCTCAGACACTTACTACCTGTGTGACCCTAGGCAGTCACTCCACCCTGTTTGCTTCAGTTTCCTCATTTGTAAAATGGGCTGGAGAAGGAAATGGCAAACCATAGGAGTATATTTGCCAAGAAAATCTTAAACCGGGGCATGAAGAGTTGGACATGACTGAACAACAGTAATACATGTGAACTGGAAAAGGGAGTTCACCTTGCTTAGAAGCAGCAGGAGGAATGAAATGAACTTGGGATGAAAAAGGGGTAGGGTGGGGGAATGTGAATCTTTGGCATTCTTGCATTCCACCGTGGGAGACAGCACTACCGCCTTCAGTCACCACCACCCTCCTTTTACTGACCATGAGCTTGTACTAACCCCTTCGCCACTACCACCCCAGATGACATATTGAACTCTTTCTCCACAGTTAGCTAACACTTCCTATTACCTCCACAAATGCAGCCTTAGGTCTGCTTCCAAAGGTCTCTTCGATCTTAGTCACCCGCAGGGAGCAAGAGGAGGGGAGAGGGGAAGCTCCTCTTTAATATCACCTTCCAAACTCTCTTCCCCTTTCTTCAGTCCCTCTCCTCCCTACACTGTCAACATTATCACTAAAACTCACAGCAGAGAAGTCTCCTGTCCAGCACCATCCATGGGAGCTCACTCCTGCATCTTGAGGATCCGCAGAAGAATCTTGTACACATCCTGTTCCATATAACCCTGAGCACACAAGAAAGATGGGAGAAATGAAAGGAGCTGAAGGGGAAGAGGCAGATTAAATAAGAAAATGGGCAGCCTACTTATCCATCCCTTTCCCAGAAGTCAGGCCCAATATGCCCTCGTAGGGGTAAATTGGTTCCAGTTAGTACTGAAACAGACAAGGGAAGGGAGTGAAGGAAGAGTAAGGAACCAAAACATTTGTTTCAGAGCCTGAAAGAAAGGGATGTTCCTCTTAAACACAAACAACCACGGACCTCCCTATCTGGAGACAGATGAGAGAGGGGTTCCCCTGTACAGAATCCTGACCTGTCCATATGCTTACCTGAGCAGCATTAAGCAGATGGTTCCTGTAGGTGGAAATTATTTCCTGGTGGTTCTTCTGAGAATCCTGGGAAAGAACATCAATGGACTCAGCCTTATATCCCAATCCTCACAGACCTCAGAAGCACAGAACAGGAAAGTGGGAATCTATTCCAGATCAATTCAACTCAAACTCATGCTTATTAAGCACACGCTCCCTACTTGCTAAAAACTATATCAGGCACTGGGAGTTCTGCTAAGACATGGCGCCTGATCTCATGACATTTATAGTCTTAAGTAGGGGAAGGAATTCAACACAGCCACCCACTAATAACCATCATGCAAAATAATGCGAAATACCTAAAAGACGTGCAAACAAAAAGCTGTATGAGATCATGGGCCTGCAGACACTAAATCCCTGGGATAAGTAAGGCCCATCACTGGCTCTGCCAGGTACCTGACTCCACCTCCCTCACCTCGCTCTTCATACCTTCCCAGCTGATTTCTCCAGGGCCAAGACCCACCTGCAATTGTAGCACAAGGCGGGTATTTTCCCCACGAACAGCAAGGACTTCAGCTGACATTTGCTCCAGTTTCTTCAGCAGCTCCCTGATCTGGGGTCAGAGGTAGAAGAGGGAGACAATGGAGGCAGCCCCAAAATCCTCTTACCTCCATATCTCACACACACACACACACACACACGTAAGGCATCAGATGGCCGCCTAATAGCAACTCCGGGCCCTGACAAGCGACACCGATTAGATGGGGGCCAAAATACAGGATGAGGACACTAAGACACTTTCTCCTTCAGTCCAGTCCATCAATCTATGTCCCCTCCCTTCCTTGAAAGCCTGGCTCAAAACCTGCAGGAAGCCTTCTGGGATAAACCTCACCCCATTTTGAACATTCCTTTACACTTATGCTCTCTGTGCTAATATTAATTTACACTGGTTTGTGTGTTGTTTTCTAACATTCTTAAGTTGTTTCCTGTACTGATCAAATAGGATTACAGTAGCCTTTTAAAAATGGCCTAGATTTGTTTTTTTCATTATACAGGAGGTTATGAGCTTACTAAGGGAAGTACTTCAAAGTTTGTAAGTCAGTTGTTTGGAATTCAGAATGCATTTCCCCTTAGAAACAATGCTATAAATGGTTGTTAGGTTCCCAGAGCCAACCCACAAAAACCCTTAATGTCATTTAACCATGCAGAGTGCTAGAGCTGGATTTCAGAAGTTTAGTACAAGAAAAACTGAGGTCTAGAGAGACTGGGACTTGCCTAAGGTCTAACTTGCCTACAGTGCCAGGGCACTTTCCACTCCTGCCAGGATGCCAGGATAGCAGCCTTGAACTACAGACCCCTACAGATCACACACACACACACACACACACACACACTCCTCCCCCTACCACCACGAGGGGTACAAAATCTTCAGTTTCTCTACCCTACCCCCTAACGCCCTGCAAGGACTCTGTCCCAGCCATCCGTGGTCTTATCTGACTCCTTTATTAAGAGAATTAGTCAGTGGTTCTGATGGCCTGCCTGGGGGTCAACAGCAGGATGACCAGGGTCCATCCTTAGCCCTTGTTACCTCAGCCTTCTTACCTTCGCCTCCTTTTCCCTGCAGGCCCCTATCAGCTGGTCCATCTTCTCTTTCAGCAACTCACCAGCCTTCTCAAACTGCTCTGAGCGGCCCCTCATCTCACTGGCCTGGCGCTCCTGTTCAGTGGCCCGGGCAGCCAGCTCCCGGCTGCGCCGCCGCTCCTCGGCCACCACTTCCCGCAGCTGCCCGGTCTCCCTGCACGCATTGTTGTACTTCTCCAGCAAAGCCTTGAGCTCCTGGCCCCAAGTCTGTGCCTGGGCCACCAGGGACGCCCGGCTCTTCTCCTGCTGTCTCAGGTTGGCCGCTTCCCGGGCGCGAAGCTCCGCCACCTCCTCGGTGGCCTGGTACAACAGGTGCTTCAGCTTTCCAATCTCCTGGCTCTTCCCGCCCATGGTGGCCTGCACCGCCCGCAGCTCCTCTTCTAGTTTCCCCAGGTCCTGCTCCAGGGCAGCTACCTGGGGGACAGCCCGGGGAACCCCGGCGTTCCTGCCGGTGCCCTTCAGTAGCTGGTTTTCTCTCCGCAGTTTGGCCAGCTCCCGCTGCGCCTCGTCATACCTGGCCACCAGGGCGCCCACGCAGCCCTGCAGCTCCTCCAGGAGGTCAGGGGCTGAGCCCTGGGGGCTCCCTCCGCCCACCAGGTTGGGAGGCAGGCATTCCCGCAGCCCCTGCAGGCCTGTGCTCTGGGCAGCCAGGCGCCGTCGGAGCTGCTCAGCTGCTTCCTTCTCCACCGCCAGCTCCTCAGCCAACAGCCCCACGCTGCTGCGTAGCTGCTGCAGCTGACCTTGGGCCTCCGGCCTGGGCATATATTCCCTCTGCAGCCTCTGGCTCAGGGCATGCAGCTCTCCCTGCAGCCGCTGGCGCTCCCGCCCCAGCTCACCCAGCTCCTCCAGCAGGTTACTATTGCTCAGCCTCAGGGCTGACACCTCCTTCTCCAGCTGTCCCTTTGCCCCAGTCCCTTCTGGGGCCTGCCCTGCTCCTGGAGCTCCAAGGGGTTCCCCCCGAGCTTCATGGGCCCTTTCCTCCTTTGCCTTGCCTTCTCTGGGGGGGCTCGTTGCCACAGTAATGGTTTTGGCTCGGGGGAGAGCTTCCTCTGGGGACTTGGGGACAGAAGGTGCAGTGTCCACGTGCAGCCCAGCCTTCGCCCGATCCAGCCTGGCCAGCACCTGCTCTAACCGAGCCTCCATCTTCTCCCAGGCGGCTGCTGCAGCCTCAGCCTGAGATGCCCCCCAAACCCTGTTTCCAGCTGGTCTGCCCAGGACCCCTCGGGCAGCATCCTTGTCCCTCCACACTGCAGTCAGCTCTTCCCTCAGCTGCAGCAGGAGCTGGCCCAAGGCAACCATGCCTGCTGGCTCGGCACCCGGAGCCCTCCCTCTCTCCTCTTTGAGGGCAAGCACTTGGTCTCCTCTTCCCCGGCCTGGCACGACCCCTTCCACATTTGCTAGCTGCTCTTCCTTGGCCTTCCCTGGGGTCTTCTCCACCGGGCTCTGCAGCTGCAGCCTCTGCTCCTCTGGCTGGGCTGTCCCCTGGATTTCACACTGGGGCCCTCGGGCCTTGGATACTTGTGATGCCATAGCCTGTTTCTGTCTCTTCAATTCTTGTACCTGCTCGGCCAACAAGTCCAGAACACAGCCCTGCTCCATGCCATCCCCCCCAGGCCGTGAACTGGGACCTTGCCCACCCGTGTCTCTAGCTTCCCTGGCCAAGAGCACTGCCAGCTCTTGTACCTGTTCTCGCACTCGGCTCTCCAGACCCTGGCAGGCTGTAGCCTGGACCTTACACTCTTCTTCCTTTTGTACCAGCTCCTTCTCCAGCTGGGAGACTTTCTTTCTCTCTGCTTCATACTTCCTCTTCCACTCCTGAGGGCTACATGTGTCCTCATCCCCTTCCTCTTTGCCATCCTCCTCCTCTGGCTCTGCTGTTCTTGGGATCTTGGGTGGGGAGCCCTAGAATAAAAACAAATTGAGGGGCAGCTCTGTAAAGAATGTCACCATAAGAGAAGCCCTTCTTTCCCAAGCCGAGCCCTTGGACACATTCCCACAGAGGCACTGGAGTAAGGTTGGCTGGAGTGTGGGATTGGAGAGATGTTCAGAGGGGCAGAGGAGAGAGGCAAGGGCTTGACTTTTTACCTGAGATGATAGATCAGGATGTTGAGCCAGCCCTTGGCCTGTCAGAAAACAACAACAGTCATTTATGTTGCACCTTTGGTTGACAGACATCAACAAAGAATTTCAGGTTGCATTATCTTATTTCATTCTGTGGGGTTCTGTAGGACAAATATTATTATCCCCATTTTACTGAAGAGGCTTAAAAACGTTAAGTGAAACTTGCCACAGTTGACATAGGGTGAAAGTAACAGATCGAGAAGCTGAACCCAGATCTACTGCTTTTGGACCCCATTCACCATCCCAGAAACTTTTAGGACCAAAGTGCCTCTTTGGCAGACACGGGCTACCACCCCCTTAGACAGGTTATCTTCTCCCATTAGAATGTAACCTCTTTATCCTCAACCTAGGTCTTTTTAACTCCAAGTCCACTACTTTTCCAGCACATCTTCCCACCTTTAGATCTCACACTGGATCTTGCTCATAGCTCGGTTGAGCATCCAGCTCTGGAACTATGGTCACATCGATTGCCACTTGTCATGACAGTGCATCAGTCTTCTCTAGTTTGGCCCCACTCACCATCCCATAACTCTGAGGACCAAAGCACTTCTCCCAGGCTACCTCTTCCCCAGCAAATAAATTGTCACCCTCCTTAGAATGTAAATTCCTCAGGGGAAAGGACTGCCTCTGATTTTGTATTTGTATCTCTGGTGATTAGCATGATGTTGGCACTTAAAAAGTGCTTATAGATATGTTTTGTTTAGGTTTTTTTCCCCACATTCATATCCTCGATTATAGCAACAGATCTAGGACAGTCTCATCTAGATTTTGTATCTCGTAGCGCCTAACATAGTACTGCCACGCACCCAGTAGTTTTTTAATAAATGGCGGATGCTACCACTCTCAGATTCTTAAGACAGAAGAGACAGATATCATGTGCTCCTTCCTCTTCAAACTTCTGACATGTTCCAGTATATATGCCTTCCCTAAGAGGCATTGTCTTTCTCTTAGTAGATAATAACAATAATAATAATAATAATATAACAACAACAACTAACCTTCATATGATGTTTTATGGTTTGGAAAGCACATTATTTCAATTGATCCTCATAACAACTCTTTGAGGTAGGTGGTATTATCATCCCCTTTTACAGATGAGGGAACTGAGACTTGCCCAGAGGCACACAGCTAGTACATATCCAAGGCAGAATTTGAACTCAGAGCTTCCTGACTCTAGGTCTAACATTTTATCCATTCATTGTGCCTCCGAGCTGCCTCAAACCAGAAATGTATTGTAAATCCCCAGCTAAGGGGACTGTCCCAGGAACCAAGAGCAAGGCTGCATTGGAGTTAAACTTTTATTGGTTGAATATTTTGGCCAGAGATGGTCTTAGTCAGAGTTGCCCACAGTGAGACTCAAGACTGCAATAAATAATTTGCCTTGCCCTTTGGACTTTGTTTGGGGTGTTCATTTTTCATCATCAGAAAGGAAATAAATAAAATAAAAATTGAAGTAATAAATCATTTGAATATAATATTGCTATGACCTTGAGGCAGAAGGGATGATTCTAAGAGGAATCTCCAGGAATACCCACAGTGGATAGGAGAGAGGCCCTCAAAGTCACTAAGGTTTAGGAAACCTCTGAAAATAGTTTGAGGATGGGGACTGATGGGGGAAGGTTGGGCATAGTTTGTCTTACCTCCACGCTGGCGGCGGTTTAGCGCCTGGCGAAGCAGCCTCCATAATTCCTTGTCTTGGGTGCGCAGGGCATAGTATAAGGCGTCATGGCCCATGCAGTCCACAGCCCCTACATCTGCCCCGTGGCTCAGGAGCATTTCAGCGACCTCTGCACTCCCCTTCTCACAGGCCAGAATCAGAGCCGATCTGTGCATGGGTAACGCAATTGACTTTTTAGAGCTTTCTCTATTATCAGAAAATTTCCCTGGCTTCCTTCAAGTTAAAGTCTTTAATCTTTCTCAGTCCTTAATTGTAGTGCCTTCCCTCTGAGATTACACCCAGTTTATGATACATGCATACAGAGATATAAAGTATAGATATCGATATCTTGTTTGTATATATTCATTTGCCTGTTTTCTCCACCATTAGTCTGTGAGCTCCTTGAGAACAAGGACTGTTTTTTGCCTTTCTCTGTGTGCCCAGAGCCTAGCACAGTGCCTGGCACATGCTGTTCAGTCATTTCAGTTGTGTCTGATTCTCTGTGACCCCATTTGGGATTTTCTTGGCAAAGATACTGGAGTGGTTTGCCATTTCCTTCTCTAGCTTATTTTATAGATGAGGAAACTGAGGCAAACAGGGTTCAGTGACTTGCCCAGGGTCACGCAGCTAGCAAGTATCTATGGCTGGGTTTGAACTCAAGTCTTCCGACTTCAGGTCTTACACTCTATCTACCGTGTCACCTAGTCGTCCTGCCTGACACATAGTAGGTGTTTAATAAATGCTTATTGAATGACTGATTTGGAGTGTGGGATCCACACCAGCCTTGTGGCAAAGTCTTTAGCCTTGGCCGATAGGCCTGGAGATAGTTATGCCGTAGAGCATAGTATGAGAATCAACAGGTGAAGAGAATGTGGATACAGGCACTAGTTCCCCGAAGCAGAGACCAGGAAAAAGGGGTAAGCACACCACAGCCATGCGACTGGTGAAGAAACCATTTCACATACATACATGCATGCGCACATACACACACCCATTCCCCACCGCTACTTCTGTCCGAAGGAGAGACAAGATAGACTAGACTCAAAGGAGCCTGGAATCCGGATTGGAGGAAATAGGGAGAGCTCACTTGTCTTCCTTATCTGTGACATTAACTCGGGCGCCTCTCTGCAAGAGCTGTGAACAGATGGCTGCATGTCCACCCAGTGATGCAATCATCAGGGGCGTCCGTCCATCCTGTACAGGTAGGGGATGGGCACAGCTGAAGGAGCCTGGAGATACATCTACCTCCCTCCTCCTGCCAACATCCCCCTCTGCATACAACTGGAGGGGGGCAGATACAGACCCATAGCTGTCCTCTCTGAATTACCTGGGAAACTTGGAGCTTTCAGCCCTCTAGAGAGAGATAAACAGCTCCAAAGCACTGAATGTGGCCTACTTGTCCCCCAAACTAATTGCGCTCAGAGACAGCAGCACCTCTCTTGAAGGCATTGCCCTGCCTCCAGGGGGGACACTCACATTATCAAGGACATCCAGAAAAGCTTCATGATCACATAGCAGCAGTACGCTAGAGGCACATCCAGATGAGGCTAGTTTATGTGGGAGTGAAGGAGAGTCAGTGTCAGGAGGAGAACCCCTTGGTATAAAGGCAGCATCCCTGCTCAACCCACATTCCTCTAAGGACCCTCTACTTCTTCTATCCTACCACCAGTCATTACCACACCCCTCCACACACACACTCCTATACCTCAGTATCCCCAAGACTCACCAGCCCAGTGCAGAGGGCTTCGGTTTTCTCCATCCACTGCATCTTCATTGGCACCATGCTAGGAAGAATCAATATAGAATTGACATGAGCTCTACAGACAACCTTCCCAACCAACACCACCACCAACTAACATACTTATCCAAGTCATAGCATGATCTCATTGGGCAAAGTATGATGTGTGAGTGGAGGGAACAAAATTCTGAGGAACCACATGGGGAGGGTCAGCCCAGTACAGTTCAGAGAGAGATTGGGTTGTACGACAAATAAAACTTTTAGTAAAATAACAGTTGTGTCTAACATTAGTACTACAAGGTCCATAGCCATGGCTGGAACACTGGAAAAGGGCTTTGAAGAAAGGGTCAAGATCAAAATGTTCCTAGTGGTCTATACCATTTTGACTTGTCTGGGGTTGTTTCATAAATTGTTCTAATGCTCTTTCATGTTCCAACCCCCCAGCTAGGTTGTTAGCTTGCTATGAGTAAAAACCATGCCTTTTCTAAGGCTATCAATAAACTCCTAATCACCAAACATCATTGCCATTTTTCAATCAGTGCTCATTCTCTTTGGCCCCTCTGCAGCTCTTGACATTGGGAACCACTGCTTTCCTCATGCCTACTTTCTTCTTTCTTGGCTTCAGGGATAGCATTCTCTCCTGGCTCTCTTCCTCTTTCCCTAACTTAACCATTTTCTGTCTTCAATTTCTCCTCTTCCCAACTCCTTAGAATACACCTCAGCTTTCTGACCTTTGTTCTCTTCTCATCTCTTTCCATACCCTCTCCTTTGGCAAATTCACTAACTCCCATGGCTTTATCTATTATTATTTCTATGAAAATGATTCCCCTCTGTATATTTCCAGTCCTGACCTCTCTTCTGAGCTCCAGTCCTCTATCTCTCATTGCCTGTAGGCTTCAACTGGATGCCCCACTATCACTTCAAACTCGGTTTTTCCAAAACTGAGTTTATTCAACTCAACAAACACTTTTAAGTGCCTGATTTTTTTCCAAAACACTATGCTAATTGCTGGTAATACAATGAAATCATGCTTGTCCTCAAGGAGCTCATATTCCATTGGGGGAATACAACATATACATAAGCACATACAATGTACATAAAAAGTCAGTTCAAGAGGGAGAAAATGCTACTAACTGAGTAATACAAGGAGAGAGAATCAGGATATGGCTTCTTAGCTTACACAATTGGCAGTGCAGTGGAAAGAACACTAACTGCGGAAGCATGGGCTCTGGATTAAAATCCCACTTCAGACAATGACTACTTTCGTGACTTTGGGAAGGTAACTTCCCCTACATGGGTATTATTCCCTCATCTATACAATGAGAGGGTTGAACCTCTCTGATTGACCATTTGAATAGCCTCCGAGGTCCCTTCTCTATGATCCTGTGACCACCATTCACATCTCTTTCCCATGCTCAAAATCTTGGTGTTATCTTTGACACTTCCCTTTGTTTTATAACTTTAACTGGATATCAATCAGTTATCAGTAGCCTGCCAATTCTACCTCTACAATATCCTTTCCATCTTTCCATCCTTCTATTCCCACAGCCCTCAACCTGATCCAGGCCTTCACCCTCCACTTAGGCTATTACAAAAACCTCATAACAGATTTTCCTGTCCCCACTCTCTCCTCCCACTATATACATATGATTGCCAGATTATTCTTCCTTATGTATAGAGCTGGTCCTGCCCCTTCTCTACTGAAGAATCTTCAGTAGCTCCCTATTGTCTACCTGACAAAGTTCATACTCTTTGTGCCTGGCATTTAAAGCCCTCCACGACCCAGCACAACCTCGCCTTTCCAGTCTTACCTCATGCTACTTCCTTCCCCATGCTCCAACTAGACTGAATAATTTGATCACACCCTCTGCTTCTCTTCCTTCATGTCTTTGATCACAGTTTCATATGCCTGAAATGTCTCCTACCCCTCCTTTTAATTTATTGAATTCCTACCTATTCCTTAGAGTCCCCCTCAAATGCCATCTCCACTATGAAGTCTTCCCAGATACCTCAGTTAATATCGAGTTTTTCTTCTCACGATATCACACAGCATTTTGTTTTGTACCACCTAATGTACATAGTATTTTATGTTTTGCATTTTATGTTCCTCTACTGACCATAAGCTACCATAATGGAGCTGCCATACTATACCAAGTCCCATTCGTTCCACCTCTATAATATATGCCCTCCATTCCAGCTCCCTACTATGATAATTTTTTTAAAATTTCTTTTTAAAAATTTATTTATTTTTAGTTTTCAACATTCACTCCCATGAGCTTTTGAGTTTTAATTTTTCTCCCCCTCCCTCCTCTCCTCCCTCCCCAAGATGGCATGCAATCTGATATAGGCTCTACATACACATTCCTATTAAACATGTTTTCACATTAGTCAGAAGATTTAGAACCAATAGCAGGAAACACAAGAAAGAAGAAACAAAACAGAAGGGAGAAAAAGAGCAAATAGTATGCTTTGAGCTGCATTGAGACTCCATAGCTCTTTCCATCATGAGTTTTTTGGAGATGTCTTAGATCCTTGCATTGCTGAGAAGGGCTAAGTCTATCAAAGTTGGTCATCACACAATGTGGTAGTTACCGTGTACAATGTTCTCCCGGTTCTGCTCACTTCACTCAGCATCAGGCCATACAAGTCTTTCCAGATTCTTCTGAAGTCTGCCTGCTCATCATTTCTTATAGCACAATCTACTATGATAACTTAATATTCAGTAAGTGTTTGTTTATTCACAGTGACCTACTACTTCCATGAAACTCTACCTAGCATCACAGGAATTTACCTAGTTTGTTTGATGAAGACTACCCCAGGATAAGGGGATTATAAGGAGGTAATTGTGAATTTTGCAGAGTAGTTCTACAAGGCAAGTTTAGAATACACCCTATACCCCCATTATCCCACATGCAAACCTACACTTTCTACCCCAATAGGAGTAGCATGATGGGGTTTTCACATACCTGCAGTAGGACCTTGACACACTGCGGCTGGCAGGAAATAGTAGCCAAGTGCAGGGCGGTGCTTCCTGGAAAGAGAGATGGGGAGGGGGATCCACATAGCTCTGGTGACTCACAGGGAGGGAGAGTAAAGACGCACAGATAATCAGAGGGAGATTAGACAGAACAGCTTACAGTGACACAGGGCCAGAAATTCCTGTTCCCCCAGTGACTGGGTCCTTGCTGTGGGGTGAGGGTAAGACACACCCAAATTTATGGGGAGAGCCCCTGTAGGGATGCTGGCTAAGGCATGCTGGAGAAACAAACAATCATGGGTCCCATGGTCAGAAGCCCTTGTTCTTTATTCTACATAGGTCCCAGAGACTCCCCATTCTGTCTTCTGTCAAGGAGAGGGCAAGTTGAAAAATCAGTCTGCTACTCACCTTCCTCATTCTTGCTGTTGATTTCGGCCCCATTAGCCAGTAGCACAGTCAGGCATTCCGTCAACCCCTTGGATGCTGCTAGGTGGAATCTGGCCAGGTAGAAATAAGACAAAGATAAGGCAGGGAGAAGGGAGCCAAGAAGTGGGCCACGCTTGATAAGCCACCATCCCTTAATACCACGCCCCCAAACCTGTCACTAAGGGTGCTCCGGTTCTAAGCTGATTGTCCCAGAAAGAGACGGCAATCTGTCAAGCAGTCACATAGAAGAAGGTGACAGAGACAGAGAAGACAGAATTCCTGTCCCTGGGCACCATCAAACCACACAGGGGATGAAAAGAAAACTGAACTCATTGCTTCCTTCTTAGTCAAGCACAGAAGAAATCCAGAGACCCACAGCTGGGCTTGAAGATGGACAAACAGCCAGAAAAGAGTGAGCAAGTCAGGCATCCAAAGCTATGATGGAGTGAAGAGGGTAATCCTGACCTAGCCTGCTGCCTCCAATTTCATTTCACCTGAACTCGTACATCCTAGGATTCTCACTTCACTCTTCAAATCCATTCACCCTTCAGTTTTTACAATGAACGAACACTACATCCTATTTAACTGGTATCTTATTTCAGTATTTTCGTAGTTGTCATTATGCCCTTCATGTGTTAATCTGTCAGCTTCCAATCTCTTAGAGTAATGCTCCTCATGGGCAGGAGCCATACTTATTGAACTCACTTTGTACATATAGCACTGCAGACAGATAGATAGATAAATAGATAGAGATATATATGTGTGTGCATGTATACATGTCTATACATACACACGTGTATATGCACACACATATGTATACACATATGTGTATAGTATATGCATACACATATGTATATATGTATAGGTGTGTATATATATCAAGGGCTTCAAAGGGGAACAAGAAAGCCTGCAGTGGCCAGGGGGACTTACGGGGACTGGCCGTGGGAGTCTAGCTTGGTGGGACAGGCAGTCTTCCTGGAGGCTAGAGCAGTCACCCGACTAACGTCTCCCCGTTGCACTGCTTCTAGGAGTTTCTGGTCACGGCGATTCCATTTCTCCACCTGTTCCAAAATCATCACGTGAGGTAGGGAAGGAATTGGGGAAGAAGGAAGGAGATGAGAGGGGAAAGAAATGGGAGGGTTGTGAGAGGGTGCCAATTACAAAAATTCTGCCCAGTATAAGATAATTGCCAGGGCCAGCCCTCGACAAAATTATGAAGGATGTGGTTTGTATTTTATAATAGTAATAATCACTGCCTCTGCCCCATTTTCCTCCACCATCACTGTAGACACAGGTCACAAAGATCTGAAAACCAGTGTATGTTTGTATCTATCTATTTGATGTCGTTTACATGGCTGCATAATTTTATGGTAGTAAAGCTCTTTATTTACATGATCTGATTGATGTGGAGTAGATAATACTATGATCTTCATTTTACAGATGAGAAAACTGAGGCCTAGAGACTTGCTAAAGTCATTTCACTAGGAAGTGGCAGGCCTCCTGACTCCACGCTAAGCTTTCTCCATTACACAATGGTTTGGAGCCCCACCTCTCCCCTAATGGCCTTAGTAAGCTTTCACCGCTAAGAGGTGGACATATCCCCAGGTGCTGGCTTCGTAAGGAGGTATAATCATTCTCCCTTTCCCTGCCTTCCCTCCCTCTTAGCTGAAGCCTACCAGTCCTTATCTTTTTCTATGCCCAAATTGTTAACTAACTAACCTGATGTGCTAATAGGAGGAAATTGGAGTCCCTGTTCAGCACCTCAGGCAATACACGAGAATTTGAACACAACCTCTGGAAACAATGTTCCATCATTTATTATTTAACAGGAATATGCTCTGGGAACATGTCTGACCACAAAGGAAAGGAAAGAATGCTGCTGAGCATGCTAAAATAGGACCAGGCTGGGCTTCACTCACTGCAGTAGATAGGATACTGGGCCTGGAATCAGGAAGACCCGAGTTTAAATCTGGCCTCAGACGCTTACTAGCTGTGTGACTCTGGACAAGTCACTTAACCTCAGTTTCCTCAAATGTAAAATGGGGATGATAACAGCATCTGCCTCCCATAGTTGTGAGAATCAAATGAGATAGTATCTGTAAAGTGCTAAGCGCACTGCCCAGCATATAGCAGGTGATATATAAATGCTAGCTGCTATTATTATCATTATTGTTGTTGTTATTATTATTATTATTACCAACAAGAGCTGTGGGACATTAGTCAGGTGGCTGCTCTAGCCTCCAAGAAAACCGCCCACCCCACCAAGCTAGACTCCCACAGCCAGTCCGTATAGACTTTCTTGTTCCCCTTTGAAGCCCCTGATATACACACACATATGTACATACACACATGTATGTATACGTACCCTTGAGATGAAAAGCATGTGAACAGCTGATTTAAAAAGTTTAAGCGCTGATTTGATAGGCTTTTACATTTAATTTGTATTTTCTTCATTGAATGCTCAATCCCACAGCAAGCCTTTCCAACCCTGCTTTTTTCTCCCCATGCCTATCAGACCTTTTGGAGACAAACCGGGACAACCCGTATAAATTCTCGGTTTGGCTCCACTCCGGTTTTGCACCAGTTTCCTGGTTTGTTCCAGTACTGGTTTGCACTGTCAGTTCTCTGAAAGGTAAACTGAGGCACAATAACTTGCCCACGGTCACAGCTTATTACTGATGACCAAGGCATTGGTTCCCATTCAGATTTTTTATTCACAATCTCTAACCTTGTTTCAGAACAAGGGAGGGAAGCCCCAAGTTTGTTTCCTAGTCTATCCTTCGGCCATTATACCTCCCTCACCCCTACCCCACCCTGGTACCTTAGTAACAACAAACAAAGAGCAGGGATAGGTTCTTGGCTAAGCCTGGACCGGTGACAGGGAGCTCAGCACCCAGCTGTCCCAGACCTCAGCCACACCTGGCCATGCATTGTTCTTCCACGAGAACTTTGAAGAAAATCATCGTGGGAAACAGCAGTAGGGCGGGGATTACAGAGCGGGGTGAGAACACCCCAGGCTGCATGCATGGAGAAGCCTGCTTCCCTGACTTGAGATGCAGATTTATGCATGGTTTCCATCCGTCTAGAGTAATTCACTTGGGGACAGAGGAATTTCTCAGCTGGTTCTGCCGTCAGCTTTTCAGTAAGAAAGATGCTCCAATCACAAGAGGCATTTGGGATAGGTGAATCTAAATTAATACTATACTACCTTAATTTGTATTCTCTATTACATTCTTTTTTAAAACTGTTGATGTATTTTGTTTTTACATAGCCTAAATTTCCCCTGTATCCTTCCCTCCTCCCAGAAAGTCAATGCATAAAACAAAGTTTTGTGGGGGTTTTTTTTAAGAAAAAGAGGTTAAGGGGGTGTGGGGGAAGGAAATTAGCAAAACTGAACAATACATTGAAAAAAATGATAATATAGTCAATGTTCCACACCTGTGGACTCCCGTTTCAGCAAAGGAGCCTCCACTACCCTGATGCCCAATTCTGGCACTAAGGTTCTGCCACAGAATCACAGGCTGTAGCAAGTCCTGTCAAGCTGCAGAGGCAAGGACTGGCTAGAGTCTATCCCTAGAGGAACAGCCCACTCAAGTTAGGAAAGGTTCATTCATTCCCAGAAGTTTGGCTGCCAAGTGACGAAGGAAATCTGTGTGGGTTTTCCTTTTGTTTTTTTTTTCTTTTTTGCCTCATCACTTCATGGAAGGCTTGGAGGTTTAGAATTAGCATCAACAGAAGAAAAAAAAAGTCCTATACTGATAAAAGTATAGATCTTTTGAAGTGTAGAAAGATTGAAGTGACATGTAAATCAATATATTTAATTTTTTAAAAAATACTTTCCCACTTCCTGCTCAGCTTCCCAGCCACCCTATGAATAGATAGGAGGAGATAATGATACCTGCCCCAACAGTTGGGTAAACATTCACTGAGAGGCGGTGCCTTATTAATTATTTGTTGGCTGATACGAAAATTTCCCCTTCCTCCAACTTGAAATAGTGAACAGACTCACCCTGGAACTAGAATCCAGGCTTTCTGACTTCAAACCATTGGACCATACTAGTTTTCTGTTATGTAATTATGGCAAAGGGTTAATTTTGGAGCCGCCCAGACCACAGCAGAACCCTACCCGAATAATTGCCTTTCTAGGAGGACCCATAAGGAAAAAGAGGTCTTCCAGGCATCATGGTACAGCTTCTTAGAGGCGTCGTGATTCAGTGGAAAGTGTGCCAACTTGGGAGTCAGAGGATGTTTGGGGTCAAATCCCAAAGTCGCACCTTGGGTAAATCACCTTACTTCTCTGGGCTTCAGTGTCCTCATCTTTAAAATGAAGGAATAGTACCAAATCAGAGGTGTCAAAGACAAGCCCTTCAGCCAGAGGCAGAGTAACACGTAATTGGGAAATATTTAACAAAATAAGTAAAAAGACAATAAAACATACATAACAATACATTTTAAAACTAAGTCATTGGTGTACGCACCAAGATGCTTATGTAGGGATTAGCAGCCAGGTTTCTATTTGAGTTTGACACCATTGCACTGTATCTTCTAGTTTTACAACTATGAGTCAGGCCACCCTGATTCTTTTAGGCAGTGATGGTGGGACTATCCTCAAGGACCAGGACATCCACAGGAAAGAAGCTAGGGAAAAGTCCCTACCATGAAGTTACTCCCTACAGATGACCATAGCCTGAAATGTTCCAAGAGAAGTTGCTTCCCAGTCCATGTTGGTAGTAAATTAATTAATGCACATGAGGTACACTATAAATTTAACAAATACAATAGAAATGTCAGCTATCATGATTTTGATTGCCATTTGCCTAGCTGGATCAAGAGGATCCTGTAACTCCCTGGTCAGGTGGATCAGTGCAGGCTGTTCACTGCAGAAAAGTTGGGTATATTCATTTAAAAGAATAATTCAGCCTGGCCGTGTCCATGATCATGAGTAATAAACTGCTTCTTAGCAGTAACACAACCAAACCAGTCCTTTATTTGCTGGCTAGTTTCAGTTCTCACTTGTTTTCCTATAATTTCCCTATTCTCAAATTTACTGCGTGTTAAAATCTTTTTCTCCCTTCGTTGTTTTACCAAGGGTAGTATTTTGTAATCCCTTATCAGACATCTAAAATGAGATTGTTACTAGGAAAAGCTTGGTTTTTTCCCCCCTATGTCCATAATGTTTTATCTCTCTTCATATAGAGAGCATGTTTCCAAAGACTTTTTTCCTCTGAGCCAATGAGTAAGAACTGCGTACCTGATTTCAGGGGTTGCTACTTTCTTGTTTTTTCCTCTCTCCACATGAAGGAAGGAGCTGTGTTGCCCAACTGGCTAGTTCCAGTTGGTTCCCCAGTGGAGCAGCTCCTACTACTACTCACAGAAGTTGTTTGTCCTTTGTTCTTGAAGAGGACCACGACATCAGGGAGGTGATGCTATGACATGCAAGTGAATTGGATTTAAGTGAGGGAGGGCTGTGTAAAGTCACCAGCCTCACTTTCTCCTCAGGAGCCATCTGGGTCCAGTGGCAAGATATAGATCAGGACAGCTGGAGATGGTCCTGGATGTAGTAGGAGACCTTTTAAGCCAAGGTCTTTCCCAAGTCCCAATTTGGGCTCCTTGACATTTTTACCAGTTCTCTAATCCAGGTAGGTGTCAAAGTGAATAAAGTGCCCAGCCTGGAGTCTTCCTGAGTTCAAATTTAACCTTAGGCACTTACTAGCTGTATGACCCTGGACAAGTCACTTAACTCTCAGTTAAGCCTCAGTTTCCTCATCTGTAAAATGAGCTGGAGAGGGAAATGGAAAACTACTTCTTTGCTAAGAGATCCCCAAGTGGAATTATGAAGAGTCAGACACAACTGGACAACAACAAATTGGTGCTTCCTAACATTTTCTATTCCCAGGCATCCTTGAACATTTATTAGTTCACTATGTCAAATTGCCAAGGCACCATAGGTCAGCAGAAAATATATTATAGTTAGAGTCAGAGGACCTGGGTTCAAATTCCAGCTTTACCACTTACTACCTTGTGATCATGGGTAAGTCATTTCACTTCTCTGGCCCTCAGTTTCCTCATCAGTAAAATGGGGAGAGATTAGATGAAATTATTTCTGAGGTCCATTCTAACTTTAAATCTGAGATCCTGAATCATCACACATCTCCAGACCTGGGATCTTAGGAAGGCAACAGGATTCCCAGATCCTGCCCCATTGCCTTTTACAACTTAGGATACAGTAACTCAGTACTTGGATGGGCCTCGTTAGAGTAAGCATTTCTTCCACCTATGAGGATCATAAAATACCCATTTTTTCATCCTGTGAAATCTGCACCTAGGCCTTCCTACACATTGAAGGTCCAACCAACATGCCTGGGTTTGGTCAAAACACTTTCCTCTGGTTCTCTTAATACTCTGTGGGTACCAGTACCACATTTGGGTCATTCACCTATTAGCCTTCACTCTCACTGTATGACCAGCCCACTTCTATTTATGGTCATTCATGATATCTTTTCTCATTCAAGCCAATATTGGTAATTAACTTCATCCTATTAATGCCCACCAATGTCTTTCTGTTGCTCTTTAGGACACCTATAAAAGCCTGCAGGAAGCACTAAACTGTCCCCTAAGCCCCAAGAGAGCAAACACCTGCCATGATAAGGGGGTTAAGGCTTGCATCTTCCCATTCCAGATTCACTAGAATTTTTTGCAGAAGTTTCTCCACCCTCTCCTTATCTCCAGCTTCCTGTCTACAACATCCTATTGAAATAGAAGTGCCCTAACAGGTAGAAAGCAGGTCTCACTGTCCCTGACAGGTTGGGATGGGAAGGAATGTACTATGCTATGAGTATGTGGTGAAACTAGAAGTAGATTTCAAGAGTCCTTCCCTCTTAGCCTGTAAGAACTGTAAGAACCAACGTAAATTTTAATCCAACCTGAGGTCAAGGGATTCTAAAATGAATTCCTGGCCCTACTTTTTCCATAGTAAGCTCGGTAAATTATTTATAGTTCAGTGTGTGAGATATGCTAAAAGGCACCACACCTGGTTGACTAAAACCAAGTTACATATATTTTTTAATATCCTCTCTCCCCTTCAAAGAAAAGGTTTGGAGTTAACTTAGATTGTCCTCATGATGGTTTCTGCTTACATAGCCTTTTCCTCAAGATAAAGAAGTGAACTAGCCCTGGATTCAAGCAGTAGAATGGGAGAGGGGAGCTCTTGAGATCTTTGGCATGACTAGGAAGTCAGGCTCTGGGAGGGGCCAGGGAAGTTGCTGCTCTTTTTCCCTGACAATTGGGTCTAGAGTGGTTGGCCACCCATTGGGTGGAGGAATTTATGATGAGAGAGGTGTGGGGGAGTTTCATGAGGAAACCAACCTGCAGCTCAAACTGATCTGGTTTCCACCTTTCTAGTTCCCAGGCTTGACCAAGGACCCCGGGAAAACCCAGGGACTGGAACGGATCGGAAGAAACAGTTGTTTTTAGTGAACTAGACTGGAGTTTTCCCATACCTAAGGTGGAGGTGAGACCACTAGACTCCTTGGGAAGGAGGATAGGGATGTGATGACTCTCAGTGACCAGGGAACAGGTTGTGTTATTAACAACAGGGAAACTAGAATCTAATCTCCTTGAGATCAGGGATCACATTTAAGAGCAGATCACCTGTTCTCTACAGTGACCGTCCTCACCACAGAGCTTCTACTATTTGACTGAAATAAGAAGTTGAATGGAGAAGTAATTGTTGTGAGAGGATTAAGGATAGGCCTCAGTAGACCTCTTAGTATTTTAATTTGCTACAACTAAATTCAACAGACAG